GGGGGTGCGATCTAAGCATTCCATTTATGTCAAAAAGTAATTGTTAAATAAATTTTGTAGAAACAAATCAGATGAAAGCTGTTAGAATATAACGAAGCATTGTTCGTTATGATTAAAAGTTATTTAATTTTATTTAGGATAAATTTCAATTTTTTAAGATTACATATTTAACCCCCCTTCCCCGCTTCGCATCCAAGATGACCCTGGAAGGTTTGATAGCCGTGGGCCACAAAAAATCTTAACTCGAGCCTGGACATATTCATCATCGCTGTAATTTACTTCTAGTTTATGTTCATGGTTCAGTCATTGTAGCATTATTGCAGTTAAACTGTCAACTAAATTGCGGATGTTTTCATATAATCTCATACTGTTTATAGGTTAATTCGTTAAAATATATATAAAACTTAAATTTATTTCTTCTATAGTAGTAGAGATTTTATCGATGTAAAATAAAACTTTATTAAACTCTATCAAACTATTTATTTTATTGTGCTTTTGAACAATTATGTGAACTTCGAGTGTATAAAATAATCTGCAGTCTACTGACGATAATAATAAAAACAATACAGATATAACTTAATACCCGACATAAGCCTGAATTTATTCGACTAATGTCACAGCCGACTCTAGTACTAGCCGTGCTGAACAACGTGGCAACACCGCTCATGGCGGATTCGGGACTCCAAGACTGCACTTCACTGCCGGCAAAACGCCTTACACTTCGATTTGCTTTGTGTGCGATCCACGCGCTAGAGTTACATTTATTTAACCAATCGAAATGAAATTTAAAACATACACTGGAATTACCTGGTCCACGTTGGAACTGACTGGTTTACTCGAAGACGAAGACTCCCGTGTCTTTTTCGAGAAATTTAAGAAACACTTCGGCTTGCATCCTTTCCATTTAACAAATCTAAACGCCGCATTAAACGAAATATTAAGTTCTAATTTAAATTCTTATGACACTGAGTACGTATACAATCTATATTAATTACTAAAAAATGATCTCTTACTCTTAATTTTCATCTTATTTTCTTTCTTTTAAATGTGTCATGGTTATGTTTACATACTTCAATTCGTCAGATAACAAATTATAAAAACGATAGTAATATTCATCCTCGTACTCTTAAGATTTGTTTTTTTTATAGATTGAAAGGATTTTTGTTGGCTTACAAGAATCCCAAATTATTGACACCACTGGGAGAAATATTTTATGATACTTGTTTCATTCATGTTGATATAGAAGCAGAATTTTATGTATTTAGACCAGAAGTAGGCTGTTTATTGAAAGGTAAACTATTATATCATCTTAAAATATGGGATTTGCTATTAATGAAAATAGATTTACTCTATCATCTTGCTTATGTTTAAAATTCTTGTTTAACTTCAGGAATGTGATTATGTTTTGCTTTTGTAACTTTTTTGTAACTAAATGTGAAACATTGAAGTCTGTATCTTTATTGTCATATCAACCAAATATTTTTATTTAGCATCCCTTTATATTTTTATAGCCTCATTTGCATCTATTTGTTTATTCGTCCTTTTCTTCATTTCTTCATGTTAGACGTCCAAAAGACAAGCTTTATTCTGTTATGTTTCTGCTCTGTATTATATTTTGTTCCCATTAAATATCGGATTCACTTCATCATCAGACCCTATAAACTCAATGATTGATACTCAGAATCTGAACTAATCAAACAATGCTAAAAGTCTTCAATAAAATTCTTTATAAACAAAATACATCATAACTGAAAATAGAAAATTTTATAGTACATTATTTAAGATACGCATTTTATATTGCAGTGCATCAAACACTTGATAATAAGTATGTAAAAAATGGGTTGCAATTAATATTCATGCCATAAGACTGAAGTTTTATAATTTACAAAAAGTAAGGTCAATTAATTCAGTTTCTGAGACTTTAGTGAGTAATTACTACTTATGTACTTATGTCTATCTGATTAAGATGATGATGATGATGATAATGATAATCATAGTAATAATAATAATAATAATAATAATAATAATAATAATAGTAATAATAATAATACACAGGAACCATCAATAAGAAAGGTTTAGACTACATTGGAGTCCTTGTACACAAAACATTTAATGTATCTATTCCAAAGCCAGATGACAAAGACAATTGGTTAGGTGAAAGTCTTGAAATAGGCCAGGAAGTAAAATTTGTAGTAACGCTTTTCGATTCCAACAGTAAATTACCATTCATTCGTGGCACTTTGAATCCAGAGTAAGTAATAAACTACTACTTATATTTTGTTAGTTCTTAAAGGGTATAGCAGGATATGGTGGTCAAAAGTACCTCTAGCCTGATTTAGACATGTAATATACCATTCTATAGCTTGTCAAGAAAAAACAGCTCGTGCCAAGTTTCAATCCTCTATCTCGACTACGAGGGTAGTAATATGAAAAATTCGGATTATCGGTTTTCCTTTATTTTCCCTGTTTAATGACGTGCAAAAATTCTGTAAAAAATCTGATAGATAGTATTTATCGGGGCGCGTGTTGCAGATTTTTTTGCGATTATTCTTGACAGGCCATCGAATGGTATATCACAAGTCCAAATCGGTCTAAGGGCACTTTGGACCCCCTTATCCTGCTATACTTTTTTTGGGTCGAATCACAAATAACTTCTGAGGAATAATTAAATTATAATCGAGAAACAATAGAAAGGAAATCTATAAATTCTATAGCAGTTGCTAAGAGATTTATATAGATGGAAAATGTGATTAAATAAGTATATGGATATTCAGTTAGTTGTAATTATAATAAAAAAAGATACAAGCAAGTGGAATATAATTTGGCTTCATTGCAGAAATTTTAGTTGATTTAAATTTAAGAAAATATAATAAGTAGAATTATAGTTAATATAAATAATGTAAAACTACTCCTATTTTAAAGTCCTCCTAGGAGATAAAAAGTATCATTGTGGTGTAGTTACGGAATGCTTTTAAACATGGATACATTATAACAATAGTAACAAATATTAAAATTATATTTATAAATTCTACAGTATCAGTAATTCTGAAATATAGATTAAATATTTTAAATAAAAAGAAGTGGAAGTTATTTATGATTGAACTTAATCTTCTAATTTATTGTAATAATTCACCCAAGTCTGGTTATCTTTTCAGCAATTATCTAGAAGGTTGCAGACTCAGTGAGCAAAAATTGAACAGAATATCGAATCAGAATAACAAAGAATGTGTAATAAATAGAATAGAAAGTAAAAGTAAGAAGAGGAAAAAACATACATTCCTTGCAATTGATTCTGAAAACAGTTCTGACGAAGATACATTTCAAATAAAGAAAGAAACTCCTACACAGAGGAAAACAAAAAAGACATTTGAGCGAGAAGAAGTGACTAAATTTAACGAAGACAAGAAGGTTAAGCAGATTAACAAAACTATACCTAACATGATTAAAGAGGAAATCATGCAAGAATATAAACCAGAGAAATCTACTTCTTCGAAGAAGAATATACAGAAGAAGCTTAGAGATCATAGTTCAGAGAGTAGTGTGGAGGAATTTAGTGATCTAAAGTCTCACAAGAGAATTTCAAAAAAGTTGTCTGTTGTCAAATCCCAAGATGAAATCAAGAATATTAAGTTAGAAGATGGAGATGTTTCAGAAATTGAAAGGAAGTGGAAGAAAAGCTTTTCAAAACGAAAGCAATTGGATGAAACTGACAGTTCAGTAGATTTAGCGGAAGATAAACATGTAAAGAGTAAGAATATTTCGAAGAGACTGAAAACGACAGATGTAGACAGCAATGAGACACTCATTAACATTAAAATGGAACCATTGAATGACCAATATATCAGTGAAGTAAATTACGAAAGGTCTCCCGAAAAGAAGAAACACAAAAAACATAAACATTCTACGAAACTGGTTCTTCCTATAAGTGATACGAATGGAAATGTTGAAAAGTCTTTTGGGAAGTGTTCAAGAAAGGACTCTGAATCTCCAGTTCAGAATATAAGGACTGATAGTTTTGAAATTACTGAAAAAGCATCAAAGAAAATTTCTGAATTAAATCCTTTCACCTGTAATTCTAATTATATGGAAAATGATGAAGATAATATGTTTAAGAAGAAACGAAAAAAGCATTCAAAGAAGCTTTCAGATGCAAGCGAGATTATAATGGATGGGTTCGAGGACATTGTAATGAAAATAGAGAAATCTAACGATTCTTATGACGACACGATAGGAAATCTTCAAAACGATGATGTGGAAGCTTCTTTACATAATATAAAAATAAAAAAGAAAGAATTTATAACGGACAGTGCGTCTGACGAAGATCCGATTGATACGTGCAATCAGAATGTTAAACAGAAGAATAGTAAATATTCTCCAAATAAACAAGTAAATGGATCAGAATGTGATTTCAGCAGAGTCAAAGTTAAAATTGAAGACTGTAGTGATAGCTAGGGCAGTGTATTTTATGCAATATGAATTGTGGTTAAGTTACTCTTTTAAACAAAAGAACTTGCGGTTGCACAAGCACAAATATTAAAAGTACAGGTTGATTCTCTCGCTAGAGGCACCAACGAGAATAGTTACCGCATTGTTTTCATTTTAAAGATAAGTACCGTGGTGGCAGTCGTCGATGACACAGAGCCTTTCATGACACGGCCTTGACCGATCGGCAGATTACAACGTCGATGTTAGCGGCTACTCTCTTTGGGACTTCTAGTGAGAGAATCACCCAGTATAAAGTGTGCTGTAGATGTATATAGTACAGAATTCTGTGTAACTACTCACGTATACACACTTTCTATTTTACTATGTGAACATTGAACTTGTATGTAATATTATGTATATTATGCAGCTTTGGTATAGAGGATGTCTCAATATAGACTAAACACCTAAATATTTCCTTCATTTTTAACGATTTCAGAAACGCTTTAAACGCAATTTGGGCGGTTTTAACGAAGGAGTGTCGTTAAATATATTTTTTGGTGATTGGAATTTTTTTTAAGGTCACCAGCCTTTTTTGTCGGAAATCATAAACTTTTTTCGAAATCATAACTTTTTGAACATTGCAGAAATAATGAAATTGTGATACAATGTTAGGATGGTATGTGAAATTACTTTCTATATTACAAATGTTTAAAGTGATGTTCATCGACGGTGCTGCACTATCTAAACTATAAGTTATCAGGAATTCAATTACTTCTGACGTGATAGGACAAGCTGTAATTATGTGATTCTTCATGCCTTCCGAAGTGGTAGGTTGCTATCAGCAAACATCTGCTTAGGTTTCTCAAAGAAATAAATCTGATGATGTTAGGTCTGGTGAACGTGCCATCCAAAGTACACCCATTACATCCAATTTATTGAGTACTTGAGTAGCTGCCCGTGAATAATGAACAGGGCAACCATCATGTTGGTACCACATAGTTTCACGAATACTTAATGATACATCTTTTATTAATTTATGTATATCATCCCATAAAAATCTTGTATATTTTTGTCTATTTAGTGTCCTGTCAATAAAATAAGGTCCAATAATTGTGTTATTTAAAATGCCACACCTAACATTTAATGTCCACGGTCTTTGCCCATTTACCCTGATAACCAGTTGTGTACAAGTTTCAAGTAAATTGCAAGCAATAAATGACAAAAGTTGCCTAAAACACTATAGTCATCTGTTTCCGCATTTGACTTAGGTTTTGCCGCAGACGAGGTATAAGAATAAACCTAACATGCAATGGAATTTTCTGTCCCATGCTTCGGGGGCGTCAGAAGCCCCCGAACCATTTCAGTATTCCATTCCTTGCTAGCGAAACCGGGGCAACAATGGCTGCGTTCAGCCGTCTCAATCGTTGCACAACTGTTGCGTGATTTCACTAGATTTTACGCTGAACGGTACCGCTCATTTGCGAACTTCTCAACATGTTCAGTGAGCGGTCGCCATGTTTTGTAGCGGAAATAAACTACGCTATCTTTGCTCAACGTGTTGTGATTCAATATGGCGGGTCCCAGTGAACCGCAAACGTAAACAACATAACGTCTATCTACGCCGACTGTGGAGTCGGCGAACATCCGTACCACCGCATACGACCACAATAGCAGTGACCCGGCGCCTCCCTCTGTGCAAGACTCACGGAAGTAGCAGCGGTAGACACCCCGAACAGGAGACCACAGGTGCGTTCAGGGGGACCGAAAGCCGTACTCCAGACTTAGCTCCAGGGGAGCCGGATATATTGGCGGGGAAGCCCTGGGGGCCCGAGGACTCTACGGAAAGGCGGCATTCTTGAAGCCGGCGGATACTCTAGGGGAGATTCGCAGCGGAGCACGCGGCGAACGAAACAGCAGAAGGGGGAAGGGGGTACCACTGAACGTTACAACTGATTGCCGAAATCCATGACAAATCATTCGGTTGCGAGCGAGCTCAAGTAAAGTAGCGTGTGTGGAAGCGTAGTGTCAGGGAATAGCGACTCAGGGTACGAGCGGAGCGAACGAGATCTTGTAACGGTAAGCCATCCATTTCCATCTAGAGTGATTCTGTAGTTTGATCGCAAAAAAAGTCGTAGCGAACAAACATTGAACGGCCTCCCAGCTTCTGTGAGAGGCGAGTAGCGGATGGGTGTATTTTCTCGGGGTTCCTCGAACTGTAGTGTATCGCTTATACCATCTAATGGAGGCGCCGTAACCAAATCAATTGTTAACTAATTGTATTTTGACGAGAGCCGAACTTCGGAAGGATTTGTTATCGAATAACTTTTTGTTAAAAGTTAAATAATTGATAGGCTATGGATTGTATGCATTGAACATACCTAGTCAGCCAAATCTGCTGTTGGTTTGTGGATGTTTTTGCAATAATAATATAGACCTGCAAAATAAAAGTATAGATTTATTAAAGTAAGTTAATCTTAATGGTCTTAACAAAAGTTCTTACGTAATACACAGAAGAGAACTCAAGAGTGAGGAAGAAACAAAACTGTATCTTGGAACATAATAAAAATAAAATATATCACTTCACCTATAGTGTAATGTTTGTTAAATAGGTTGGCGCCATTTTTTTTACCAGGTCTAATGTTTCAACAAACCTATCTCAACATCTGCAAAAACAATTTTTGTCGAATACCTGTTATAAAGTCATGGCTAGAATATGCTATAAACAACTTGCGCGTACATTGACAACATATGCATTGAATTGACAGTAACATATTGATGAAAGGTTTGGTGGAAAGCAGTGGATTGAGAAGCCGGTTGGAATAATGTAGTCGAAACGTACTGCGTTTCGTAGAACGTATAATCTTAATTCAATAATAACACGCTTTCGTAAAACATATCTACAGTAAGGAAACTCAAAGATATTGCAACAATTGCCAAAAACACGTGGCTTAGCCAAAAACAAAGGATGTGAACAATACGCATATGTTGTTCTACTGCGAACATGTGCCGGGCTAACCAAGCTTATTATATGTATACCACCGTGCAGGCGTTCGATCCGCTCGCTATGCTCGCGTACACAAAGGTCCTACGCATGTCACACGAAATTGCGTATTTCCAACACATATGCAGCAAATTGGCTTGTGCAAACCCTGTTTCAGTTTTGCCCTCAATATGATATAGGTCATGTTGCAAGACTTTCTGCCAATTTGCTTTACCATTTTGTTAGCTGGCGTTGGCTGCAAAATCCAAGTCAAATGCGGATACAGATGGCTATGGTTTTTTAGACAACTTTTGTCATTTATTGCTGGCAATTTGCTCGAAACTTGTACACAACTGGTTATCAGGATACATTATTATACCATAATTTACATAAAAGCAAATCTGACAATTTTGCACATTCATACTGTCATGTAGAATTTAAACTGTAAAATTTCATATAATGCTGAAATTATTAAACAAAAAAAACATTGCTTTAATGAGCATACAAGATTTCAAAATATATGTGTGGGAGTAGTTAATGGTTGATGTTAAGAAATATAAAAACATGTTTATTGATACATACAAATTTACCACTTTACATTACAATGATTGCCTATCCTGTGAATTTATTGGTAAAGATACGAAAATTGAATAAAAATTTTGGACAGGTCCAAGTTTAATTTTCAAATACAAACTACCTTACCAAACACTTATACATGATTTTTTACATGAAAATATTGATGTTTATATACACCTACACAAGTATAACATGATGTGCACTTTATTGTATTTCACAAAATCTCTTGTATCATAAACTAAATATGTTCTTTTAATAATAACATTCTAGTAATTGCTAAATATTAAATGTAATTATTAAACAGTGAAATAGTTATAAAAGTTCAACATAATCGATATTTATATTTTGAAAGGTATTTGCATTGATTTTTCACATGTACCCTCGCGAACAAGCTCGACTTCCGCTAGGGGAAAAGTGATGTAAGGGAAAGACCTCCTACCACTTGGTCTCGGAGTTATTGAAAATTATGCGGAATTAACATTTCTGTTTAACATTTATTTCAGTATTTGAAATAAATTTATCAAGCGATAGGATGCCCTAGTAGTAGTAGTAGTAGTACGTTTCTCCCGGGAGAGGGGAAGTGCGATTTCCCCCTCAAGGCCCAGCTGTGGCTCAAAGCGCCGGTAGCTATCACACAGCCCCCTCCACGTTAGCAGGGGGACTGCCGTGGGCATTACCCGGGGCGATTGTTTCCCCCGGTTTTCCAACCCGATCAACTTTTTTAGGCCCGGGCCACAATAGGATGCCCTAACCCCTACATTGCTTTTGTCCCCTACAGCAAGCCGAGTTTGCTCGTTGGTATACAGTGTTTTATGAGCATATTCAACCTTTTAAAAAATGACATTTTTACTTTTTGGCAATTTGGTAATCTTTACTCTGAAAAGCAGTTACCCTTATAACTTTTATCTCAATAAAACAGCTACAGTAACCAGGTAAAAAGGGCGGCAAATAAATAGTTTTACAATGCGTAGCATATTTTTTCATTACACAAGGTAAAGAAATGGTAACATTCAACGTCCACAATTCTTTCACTTCGGTACATCGACGTATTTTTGTAACGGCAATAATTTTCATGAAATATAAAAATCGCAGCTTTCAAGAATTTTTTCTACAAATAGTACTTATACATATGTATAATTATATAGTTCTTTTAAAGTATCATTTGTACTGTGGTAATTTATATTTATATACATATATCTGCATCATACACAATGTCTGTAACATATATAAAGTTACTGTTTCTTTTAGAAAGAGTAACACTTTATGTATGAAAATGTAAGAAGAGAAACAGTCAAACCAAACAGCCGGAAAGTAGATTTTTGCAAAGTAGAAATCTGAGATGTGATTTGTTTGAGAGCAAAACTACGTTCAAAAGTAAAGATTTCCCCAGCGGTAGCCATCAATTAGTGATCAATTTTGCCTTGATTATTTTTCCTTAAAAACGTATGGCTGAGAAGATACAATGTTAAGTCTCATTGGCCAATTTTGAGCTGAATGCTTATGGCGAAAAAGTGCAAAGCTGAAGACAGTAAAATATTTCTAGACATTAACAATGCGTGAATGTTATGTTTATCAAATGTCAATTGGCCAAATTAACTAAATACTTACAAACACTTACTTTTCCTGCTCATTCTTTTGTGAGTACATACAATGTCTACAGAAACCTGAGATAAAGAATAAAATAATAATAGAAAAACAATAGGCCATATTTTAATTCATTGTACTGAAGCAATAAGTCTTCAATGATCATTTCTGGACCGATTTTTCTGAACAATTTTTATATAAACGAAGTATTAAGTTGGTATGCCATATTCTACCGTTAATATTTTTTAGCAGAAAATAGGTTAATGAAAATACTGGAGAACATGAGTACTACTTAAATAAAAATTGAAGGTAAGATTTCTTTAACTGAGACAGTTCAATTTGCCCAATTGATCAGTACTAAATAATTTCTGCATCACATTGAATTCTGAAAGTATTTTGACTGTGTCCGATTTATCTTGACGTTCCATACACACTACATTTATTAATTGCTGATCAAGTCATCCTTAGAAATGAACTTAGAAATTCAGAGTTTTGCATCTTCTACCAAAGGAACTGTGAGAATGTTAGGAATCAAAAGTTTAGACACCACTTTATATTGTTTTTAAGAATCAGAAGAATAAAGGTTTTTCGGGAACAATTCATGGAGCAAATATTGCAGTGCAATTGTATGGATCCCTGAAGTCAGGAACAGGTTCTTTTCTTTTTTTGTACTAATTTAACAATTCCCTTTTATCTATTCCACGAATGCATAAGCTATGAATCAATCCAAAGGTCACGTGCCATAGATTTCTAATGAATAATCTTTTAGCAACTCCCTCTCTCTTTCATTGTTTTAAACCATGTATGATTACATGGAGTGATTACTGCAGGCGTCAGTTCAAAGATTAGTTGATGAGTGTTTCCTATAGTCACTTTGTAAATTTTTAACCGACGAATCACAAGTTCATTTCTAAGGCTGACAGGATCCTATTGTACTCGGCATTGCCCTCGTTATCACAAAATACCCTAATATACTAGCATCTTGTCATTAAACAATTCATCACAGCGTATGCTGATGGTATCGATCGTGTTCTATTCGCTAGGTTTGACAATAAGGTCATGTTGTCCGGTAGTCGATATCATCTTAACACTAGAATTACCAAGCAAGTCAAAATGACTTGTCAATACACTCTTACAATGACGATTAAAATGTTATGACAATACATTTTCTCAGATCTTTTGCACCTTTTATTACGATATGAAAGTGAAGAAATTAGTCAATTTCTAAATTTCTAAATTTTTAAAAGTTTTTCAAGCATTTTCGCGAAATGTGCCATCCGCGGCGTGAGAAACATTGTGTCGAACGTGGGTCCTTATAATTTATATATATAATTAGGTACGCCTAGCGTCGTATCATGAATTCTATGAGATACAATATTTACACGCAATGTTAAGGGCGCAGACTCCTTCGAGGTCAACTCCGAATCGATCGTAGTGCCGATGTAAACAAACGGGCTTTAGCGAAAACACATAATCGGTAACTGGGACTGACTGGGACAGCTTGACGATGCGACATGTAACGGCAGTACCACAAATAAATTTTGTTTCTCTTCCCATTACGTTGGGTTTGAGTATTTTGTTACGCGAAGGTATTGTTACCGGAACGTATCGAGAGTTTTGTTACGCTGTTGCCACTTGTCCCCCATTTCAATTCTGCCCATCAGGAGAACGATGGAGCACGGCTCCAGGCGAGATTTCGCTTCTCACAAAACATAGAAAAAGAACAGCGCGAGCGAAAGAGATTTGAGAATGAAACAATATCTAGATAGCACATGACGCCTTCAAGATGCCCATTTTACAGCTATTTTAGGTCTAAGGCGCCTTTAAGCCGTCTTCAAGGCGTCATTGAGTGTCATGTGCCATCTGAGTATATAGTAATATGTGTAATGATAAACCTTTTTATTTCGTACTTGCTATAGCGCTTATTTTTTTTTTAATCAATGAAATTACTTGAAATGGTATTCCGAAGAAACAATTTGTAAAAATGGCCGCACATATCCGGGTATTCCATATACAAAAAAACATGGAATACTATACAAATATGCTGTTTAAAATGATATTTATTTATCATTTATTGACCCAATTGATACAGGTGTAATATGCTTACACATATATTTCATAAAAAAGACGCAAAAAGAATATTGAATAAATAAATGTATTCTACGAGAATTTATTCGCCGAATAAAGATACTGTTACGCTACATTTTCAATTGTTGTATTCGTTGGCTTTCATTTCGAATTAGAAATATAGATAAAAGTTACAAATAGGAGATAATCGACCATTTTTTAATGGCATTAAGCATGTAATAATACTAGTAATAATAATGATGATGATGATGATAACATAATAGTGTCCATATTATGTGACACAAACAATACTTCAGTATCACTTGCTAATTTTCATCCAAACTTCCCCTTAATTCAAAAAGAATATTTTCGTAATCAAGTTCATCGAAGTGTTTGACTCTACACGTTTTTAAACGAAATTCTATTTCGTACCAATTTTCGTTAATCATACATTGCTTCCAAACCTGCATAAACAGTATACATTGTTTTTAAATCCGCGGAAAAGTAAAATTAATGAAACGAAAGGAAACAGATATAATACCACATGAATGTACACATTAACGCTTGAAAGTTTGGGATCACATATTGCACAGGAAGTGAAGTTGAGTTTTTTAACGGAAAAAATATGAATGGTTATGTGATCTCCCCTCCTCCACAAGTAAGATATGCTATTGCTATTATATTCTGTCGGGTCAGTGCTAGTAAATTAAGTGTCAATAATGTTGTGTGATTTTGAATAAAAAGCAGAATGTTTATTAAAAGACTTTTTTCAGTGTTGTAGTCTTTAGTATTTTATTAGCCAGAATTGTATGGAACTGAGATAAATCAATTGGAATTGAGTAAAATACAAGGACAATGTGTATATGTATACTTTTACGCACTTTTTTACAACTACGTCATTCAAAAGCATTCTAATGGTCGTCCAGCTTTTGTCAATATGCTTTAAATATTCTCATTCCAATAAAAAATAGTAAAGTATTATTTGTAATAGATTATACAATTACAGATAAATGGTATTACTAGAAACATAAAATGCTAGATTACACTATATTTTATTCGTGCAGAAAGTATAGTAAATAATATCTACCCTTTGAGCGGTAGTATGTCTTGAAAAAAGAAATGATCTAAATTAAAAGAGTGGCTCTAACGCCAAGCGTAACAAGTGGAAACAATGTATCACAGTAATTAGCGTTTACATTTAAATCTGCATAAGAATCACTTCTGCCGTTGACACTGTCTGAAATTGCCATCTTCAATATCAATGATTTCCGAGATACATACATATTTATGAGGGTCAGGCTTCAATCAGTCCACTATACGTATTATTTTTACCGCAAACGAAACTAAGCTGGAGTAGATAGATTACAATGAAGTAGAAATTGAGGTAGGCGATCCGCTGTTATCATGCGGAGGTCTTGAACGAGAATTCAAAATACAGGAAAATCACATAAAATCAAGAGCAGGCAAATTTTATGTGGACCAGTAAACCTTTAGTGATCGCTAGATAAAAAATACGTTTGATTCCGAAGACTGTCTACAGATGAGTCATCTTCGGCGAGACGTTCATTTGAACTATTTCTGCTTAATATCGTTTGTCACAGAAACTATAGGTCTTTAAAAAGACAGCAAAACTGTCCTCTGCATAGCACCATCTCAGCACCAAGCGCACAACCGATGAGAATCGAAACGCTCACAAAAGTGTTCACAGAACGTGAATGATCAAAACAGGCGGTTGAGTGATCAAACACTGAAAAACGACAGTCTATCAATTAGCCCTAGCTCGATACTGTTTATGTACACGACTCTAGTTCCCCATGTAGGACGTGAGGTACACTTCAGGGTCAGAAGTTCATGGTTCACGCCGAGATGGTAATGTACTATGGAAGCGGCCAGGGCAAACCGGAAAAGTCCACGGGACCACCCAAGCCTGCGTCTGCCTCCAGGAGGCTCATTATCACTGCCATCGCTGCCTCGTCGTTACCATCGGACGACACAGGATTCGGCGATTCATTGATGGTCGGGCCACCAATTATCTCCATCATGTCTTCATCCGGTGAGGTTCCTACAACGAGGTGGATGTTATGTTATGCGCGACAGTCGTCAATGTTCTATTGTGATGTAGCTTCGCTACTGTCCATGAGTATATTCAGACACTTATGGTTCTTGAAAAGATGTGATTTACAGCGAATGTAAGCGTATGATTATACAGACACTTACAGTTTCTCAATAAGAGGTGAATTGCAACGGCTGACGAATGTGTCCAGATGCAGTCAAGCGTGTTGAGCAATATAAATACGTATTCCAATAACAGCAAAGATAAAGGCGAGTTAAATTATTGGGCCTAATGTACGTGAATATATCTTTGAGATCGATGAACGTCAATCCCACGACTGGATCCCGTGTAAATAAAATGGCGTAGCGTAGGTGGTAGACCTATGATTCCCAAACTTATTTTGTCGCGGAACATTCATACGATTTTTCAAAAGTCGCAGAATCCACACTTATATTTTATGGACAACCCCGTTACTTTTATAATATATTAAAGGAAATAAAACCTGTTTTAAAGGAAGAACTTATTCATATAAAGAAACGTATATAATAAGTGTAACATTAAAATGTAAAACAATTCTGTGTTTAATTGATATAAATTTGTAATTATGAAAAAAATTAATAGAATATGAATAGAAAATGAATAAAAAAGTAATACAAGATTAATGCGAAGAAATGTTGCTTCTCGAATCACAGTTTTGGTTTAATATTCCAAGTCCAAAATTGGGTTTAATATTGGATTCGCATAAGACTTTAAAAACACGCGATTGCAATGGCCGAGATTTAATAAAATTGATAATCAACACTGCTGCATCTAAAACCGATTTTAACGCAACTGAAGTATTTTTGGTTACTAATGCATATCTGCGAAGAATGCAATGATTAATGTCGCAGTTTTTTGTTTGCAACATTTGTAATTCGTGTTTCAACGCCAGCCTATTTACCTATTATCGCTTTTGTAACATCGCTGTATACATAATGCAGTACACTTCTCCCAGCTTATATCATGCGTTTTCACAAAATTACCAATACAATAAATATGTTATTTCCTGTGGCATGTAATTCCACACTTTTACATAAAAAAAGTTCTGTTGAACATTAAAGAAATTAATACGAAAAAAGTTTCTCGTAAATTGCCTTCTTTTCTAACAAATAATTTTGGCTCAATGTCATTCTGTGCAAGGTAATGAAACCCCATGAGTAAGGTATCATTATTTAGAGAATCGATAGAGAAGTGTAACGACAGTGGTTTGTGGTTAGACTAGTAGTTTTGTGCAGAAACTTCAGAAAATTTGAAAAAATATTTTTTTCTTTAACTGTCTCTAACCAACACACAATCGGTATTTTGCTTTGAAAATAAAAATAAAAACAATGCACACACAGATCATAACCCCCAGACATACATTTTCATTATAATTCCTTATAGGAAATTTAAACTTTTTTTTTATTAACAGGAATTAACTTGATTTACTTTCTACTAATTGTAAGTGTGGAAATCGCAGGAAAGTAAATCTTTTATGTATTAAACACAAACCAACCTAACCTAACTTCTATCACCTCGCACAGAATGAAATCTAACAGTAATTTTAAACATTTGGAAAACGTTTCTTACACGTCTTTTAAGACATTACCCTAACGTTTTTGTAAATCTTTAAACATTCCCAAAGCGTACAGAGAATGTTGCTTTTACACAATCAGAAAACGTTCTGAGAATGTTGACAGAGGATGTCCTCAGGACGTTCCACTTTGTAAATAGGATCTTCTTAGAATATTTAAGGATCTTAAGGAGGACCTAACGGGGACATATGGACCTTTTCAGGACATCCTCCGAATGTACAGAACGTCCGAAACGTACATCCTCCGGACGAACAAAAGACGTTTTTGTGTTCTTTGGGACGCGGCCATTACACTCCTGCCTCAGCACATCAGTGCGTGATAATGTTTAATGTTTTTTAGGCATTCTTCGACATTAATCACGGAATTGTAAGGAATTTCTGTTGATCACTGTTAGTTTTAAACAATTTCGATGTTTAGTGCATGAATATGTTTGACTTGTAAATGTGAAGCCACTAAGAAATAAATGTATATGTTAATTACCTTACAAGCTTTTTCATATTATGAGTTTACAAGATGTAGAACATTTTCCCAAATATGGCAGCATTTGAAACTCATTAAACAATATTTGGAGGTAACGCGAAGTCTAATTAAACATAATTTAAGCATCTTTTTTTAATAGTGATTGTTCATTACTTACATACCTTTCATATTTGGGAAAGTGTTCTAAATCTTGTAAAATCATAATATTAAAAAGCTAGCGATTTGAAATTCATAATTATACTGCGGAAGTTTATGCATATTCAGAATTTCCGACACCAATATCTAAAAAATCAAATGAAGCAGAATGTTGAGTTCTGTACTGGAAGCTATACTACGTTAATAATAATATATAAACAATATTAAAATTTGTTAAAGCCTATTTTATTGTATTGTCCAAGTTAATAAATGCTATAAATACATAAACATCCGCAGTCTACCAATAATATTTGCCCCACCCGATTGCGATGGCTTCATAATTGTTACTACATACCCCAAAAAACAAAATTGCATCTATGGGTCAATTGGCATTTACTGGAAACAGGCTATGAAATAAACTGGTTCACATTATATTCGTTTTAATTATTCAATTTATTTCAAACCATTCGAAGGGCGCGTCTTTATATACTCGAGGAAACTTCCAAAATGGCAAGGGACCCGACGCGATCAGAAATAACTGCGTCACGCATTCACAGAGGCGACCGGTCCCGCTCGTAACGAAACAACGTATCGTTAGGAATACAGGTGAATCTTCTCAAGCATTGAAGGAATAAATATACAGCATTTATGCCAAAATGTATGTAATTTTACGAAACCAAAACTCATGAAATGTTCGTGGCGTAGAAAAAACTTACCTTTATCATGTCTTTAAATTAATTATCATGCGCAAACATGCGAAATATTCGAACAAAATTAAAATGATATTACATAATATGTATTATGTCAGCATCTTCTTCCATTACCTAATTTTTCCTAATAAAACAAAATTCCTAATAAAGAACAAAAGCAAAATGGCCTCTCCGAGAGAGGATTCATAGCCTGACATTCTATGTACCACCTACGCTACACCGTTTTAATTACAAGAAACGCAGTCGTAAGGTTAACCATTATCCATGAAAGTTATCGCATTTTTAACAATTTATTTCTCGAAAACGAGGAAGAGGCGTTGCTTACTCATTTCACAGCTGGTTCCAGGTGATCGAAAAGCTTGGGATGCATTTCGTAGGTTACCCTCGTTGGATTTAAAGTTTCGTTATTAGAAAGTGGTTCTCTAGATGTTAAAAAAAAACACCTTGCATTTAATACCACATAACCGATTGTTAGTTAAGAAGAAGTACGAAAGCGTCCGGAATAGTGGTTTTTCAGGAATCTTTAAGAAAGTGTTCTACCGTAATGAATTCAGGAATACCCAAGAACCGCTAATTACTCTGGTTTAGTTTAAATTAAGCGTAACAATAATTTCTTGGAAACTAACCTGGAATTCCAGCCGCCTGACAACTTGTGAAACCATGAAACAATATGTATATGTACATATCTCAGTTCCTCTACATATATATGTAAATGTAAGCAACATTGGTTAATATCAATTATGTATATTCATCAAGCGCCAAAATGCTTATGGACAGTAGCCTATTGAAAGACTATCTAAAACGACAGTGCTCTACCAAACGAGAAAATTGTGTTACGGGGCTTGATTGCTAGATGTTCGAACCTTTCGGGAATAAATCCATCATCCATTATGGTCATGGCCATCTTTGGCCGTCTTCCGTCATTTGATATCAAAAAGAGAATGTTTGTACATGGTATGGTAGCTATTCCAGAGATCAGAACGAACTTCCTTCGCCCTTCCTCGCCCAGAGAAAACACCAGTAGCTCGTTTTTGGTCGAGCTTACAGACAAAGCTGTCCCTGGTCAAGTTTTCTTTGAGCGAGCTAATCGTTTTTTGGTAAATCTGGCGATCGCACTACACACCAAGAAACGACTCCTTAGAGACAGTAATAGCTATGACCTTGGTCGTTCGCGATGCTGTTCAGCTGGAGGTTGCTTGCTATGTGGTTGTACGTTGGGGTTGGATTGCTACTGCTGTTGCTGTTTCCTCTCGTCACCTGCACCACGTCCTGGACTCTCTCGGGCGACGCCGTTGTGGTGATTTGTGACTTGACACAGAAAAAAGCAATGTTAGTGAAAACTAATCCCATGACACTGAATTTGTTGTTTACAATCTGCATTAGGATGCAGATTTTAAGTTCTTGCAGCTATTGCAACGAGAAAGAATGGAACAGAAAATTTAACAACGTTTGGCAAACATTTCGTTTTCTTCTTTGCTTAGAGAAATCATTCAGTGAGGCACTGACATTAAAATTATTGTTTAAACTTCGAACATTTATAATATAAATTGTTATAATTAAACTGTTGATTTTCTCTACTTGTGATAGCTGCAACGAAATAGAACATAATGTATGTAATAAGACATTTACGCGAGCTACACAGACATAAACATCTCTGATTACAAAATTTTAAGGTTAAGAAGATGATTTAAAAATTTTCATAGACATCAGCAATTTATGTAGTTACAGGTATCTGCAAAAGTCAGCCCTGCACACTGCACATATTCAGACTTTTTTCATTCAAAAACATTGTAACATTAAAATTAAGCTTATTGCAGGAAATTCTCTTTTATAAAGAACAATTCAGACACGGAAAGGATGGGATTTTTCAGTGCGGAAATAGCTACCTCGGTGTTTATCAAAGCAGCTTCTGGTCCTGGTCCAGGACTGCTACCAGAAGAAGAATCTTCACCGCGTCTTTGGAGATCCAGAACTTCTTCCGCTATTTGTCGCCCGATTTTACTTACCTCTATGTGGCTTGAGATCAATCTTTCTAATCCACCATTACCTAAAGAACGATAAAATTGTAAATAATATTCGCAGACGGGAGATTTTACACATTTATCGAAACCAGAGTAAAACTGAAGCTTTATTAATAATGAAAAAAATGGATTTCATTTATGCATTTGTAGAATGTGGCAAATGAAATTTATATTTCTTACTTAATTTAACGAGACATTTAACCTTTTTGGTACGGAGCACAAGTACAGGGTGTAACAAAAATGTTGTCCGACCCGGAAATGGGGAACTCGGGGGGTGAATTGGAACAAGTTTTTCCTTAGCAACAATGTAATCTGAGGCTTCGTTACTGAGATATTAACGAAAAACCCCGACCAATCAGAGCGCGAGTTTGCTAGCCAAATTCCCGCGGTAACGCTGCCTACCAGTCGCAGCGCGTAGCCACCGTTAGCGCGGGAACTCGGCTGGCAAACTCGCGCTCTGATTCGTTGGGGTTTTTCGTTAATATCTCGGTAACGAAGCCTCAAATTACATTGTTGCTAAGGAAAAAGTTGTTCCAATTCACCCCCTGAGTGCCCCATTTTCGGGTCGGACAACATTTTTGTTACACCCTGTATATGTATAAGTGATCCATAGAATGCTCGCTGTGGCCTGTGGTCGAAGAACGGGTCTAGAAGTCGTCTTCGAAATACTGTTTATATGATGCTTTTGTTTTTAGTAAATATGTAGTCTACATAGAAATATTTTTTTTATTAAATTTTACAAAATGATAATTATGAAGGCGTGACAAATGCGGTTGCTGAAAAAAGCGTAAATGCCAGTCGTAGCAGGCACAGTAATGGATCGACTTCTTGGCAGTCACGAACACGTTATGCTTTGGTGTTGCCGTACCGAAAAAGTTAATATGTATAGATTGTAAAAATCTTCGTTTGCTCAATAATTAAAGATTAAGTTCACAACTGAATATTTGTCTAAAGATCCATAATCTACGATTCAATAAAGTTTATTCTTTGTTTTAACATTTTAGAATACTTAACAGAAGAAATAAGATTCTTCTTGATTTTCATTCCTGAAAGAATGTACATCAACATAAATATTTATAGTGGACGATTTTCTAAAGTCTTTTCTTTATGTAAATATTTTACTATCTTTAATAGAAAGAATAAGTTTGTTCTATGTAGATTCTTATTTCTAAAGTATTCAAATCTGCATAAACATAAAATGAAATATCGTAATTACAATGTGAAGTTGTTGGAAATTAATAGTCGAACCATATAATTTGATTAATGGAGAGAAACAGCAGAGATGTTAATTTTGCATTGAAAATTTACTTACTTTGCGTGAAATAGTCGTAGTTTGCCTGAACACTCGAGTCTTCGGACCTACTTCCGCTGTTTGTGGTCGAACGAGAATCATAGCTGCGCAAATATAAATTCCATATCATTTCTTACTATCAATTTTCTGTTAACAAAGTATTGACGATACTCACGAAGTTACAGAATTCTTTGCTATTAGGTATTCGATGTCTTTGGTCCATGGATTCCGGAAAGATTTCCATTCGGATTGAAGCTTCACGAAGCTAGCACCTTTTGTCCTAAACTTGTATATCTAAACAAATATATTATATTTAATGATTTGATCTGGTGAATATTGAAATCTTTAAAGAAGTATATTGAAGACATAAGGGTCAACATAAAAATTAAAACAGGTGTACCGATTTAATTTACATTCCATTAATTACACTGTTCAACACGAAAAAATTCTTGAATTTTCAATACGCGTTTCTCATAAATCTTTATGAGCTGAATACACGTCTGCAAACCGTTTTTTTTAGCACGTCTGGTTCTTGAAAAAATTGATCATTTTCAACTTTGGAGCTGTGTTGTGCTTTTACAATAATAGTTATTCAGTTTCTCTTGACGTGAACTAATTCTCTGGGCTCTTTCGAACAATATAATATAAATTCTTATTATATTATAGACTTGTAAATATGTTTAAAGAATGTTCAAAGTTAAAAAGATACCGAAAATGCAACAATTTTTGCTGATATTCCTCAATTTATTTAAAAAACTACGGGTCTAGGACAAATTTTAACCATAGCACGCGATAGAGCAGACCTGTCTTCTGTGGAAGGTTTCAAGAAAAGTTGCAAAATCTGTTTTGTCTTAAACAGAGAAACGAAATAGTTCAGCAAAACATGCGGCGGCAAACTGGTACTCAATGACGGCAGGTACAATAAGTGGCAGGTAAGGCGACCGCTGTCATTGAGTTCCACTGTTACCGCCACGTGTTTAGCTGAACTATTTCCCTTCTCTATTTAAAACAAAACAGATTTTGCAATTTTCTTTGACACCTTCCTCAGAAGACAGGTCTGCTTTATCGCGTGCTATGGTTAAAATTTGTCCTAGACCCGTAGTTTTTTAAATAAATTAAAGAATATCAGCAAAAATTGTATTGTTCGAAAGAGCCCAGAGAATTAGTTCACGTCAAGAGAAACTGAATAACTGTTACTGTAAAAGCACAACACAGCTCCAAAGTTGAAAATATTCCTTTTTAAAACGAAACTGATTTTTTCAAAATCCAGACGTGCTAAAAAAAAACAGTTTGCAGATTCGTATTCAGCTCATAAAGATCTAGTATAAACGCCTATCGGATATTACAAAAACGAGAAAAAGTTACAATTTGTTGAAGAAGGTAATTTTTGTAAGTATAGTAGATTAACTATAATGCCATTTTCGGGACTGTAGGAGAGTAAAACGGCAATGAGTTTAGAGCCCCCTCCATGCTAAGTTCTGTCGCCATGGCCTCAGCCTCAGCGCCTGCGCAACAGCTGGATCGTGCTGGTGCGCCGGCGTACGCAACATGGTGAGAGAGCGAATGTGTGTGAGCGAAAGTACGTGTAAAGGGGAAGTGAGTCATGCGGCAATGTGTTCAGTGGCATTAAAGTTAGAGTCTACTGTATTGTAATTTAATGCGCGAACTTTCAGAAATGTTCACAGAATTGGCACTGATGGAATGTGTACGAGGGAGAGAGGGTAAATGGGGCAGGGAGGGGCAGGAGGAGGAAGGGGTGAAATGGGGAGAGAGAGAAGGCGAGAGGGTCAGAGGGAGAATTACACTGCGATTGGTTGAATTTTGAATGTTGTCAGAGACGGTAAGACTATTCACAAAATTCTAACTAATTCACTTTTTTTTTTATTCGATGAACATATGTATATTTGATATCTAGATTTTCAGTCTATTGGTTACTTCCTTAGAAGATTCGCAAGATGAATAGTATACATATATGCTAGTAGTTGCTATACTAGTTGCCAGCATCTGCAGTGCAAAAGGAACGACAGTTTCAAAGAGATTTCATTATCATTACAAAGTAATTGAGACTTACCTGCGTGGTGACGCATTCTGAGGCCTGAAGAGCAGCTTTATGAGATTCCGCGAGATGTGGAATATCGTCATGGTGATAGTATTCGTACATGCTAGTACTGAGGAGCTCTTGCGGTAGGAAACCTAACACTAACGTTGCCCTATAAACAGTTGTTTTTAAACAATAACAGTACTGAATGCAACAATGATAGTTCATGACAAGGATAATAATTTTATGTTTTTGAGAAAGTTTTTCTTTTCTCAATAATAATAATCGGACTCCGGATTTTATGCATTGATGGTACGTACAACTATGTAAAGCAAACTGAGAAAAGGAATTTGATCAACTTTTTTTTATTTGGCAACTTCCATAATTCATGAAATCAATTTCTTGAGTATTGGATGTTTCAAAAGTAACGTCTAAAAATTGCATATTGCATAAACTTCTGCAGTCTAATAATTAATAAATACTTTATAACTATCCACTAATAGAACTGACAAAAATAGTATAGACTAGCATTAGTTACCGCACATTGAATGCGTGATTTGAAAGTAAAGTTCGCTAAAAAACCGTTGTTCTCGGAATGAGAATTTTTAGATTTCAGTATACGGAAGAAGTGGACAAGAAAAATATTTCAATGTTTCTTATAAGTAGTACGTTGGGTTAAATACATTTTTAGAATTAGCAATAATTTCAGAATAATGAAGATGATCTTTTCATTTTTTTTCATGCAAAGCTATATTTGTTTACATTACACGAAAGTTCACTGTGCAAGACTTGCTCAGCAATATGGGGCACAATAATAATGCAAACACCTTGTATGTATACGTAATTTCACTTATACCACGAATCAAAATGATGCGGCCTTGACAGCCGCGTCACTATTGGTGTATTCGATATCCGAGACACTTAATTATAAATTTTCTCACAATTACAGAAGAGTGAAAGTTATTAATGACTGAACCTGATGATGATGATGACAATACCGATAATATACTGGTAATAATATTGTAGTAATAATAACAATATCTTTCCATTACAATTACATGCAAAAACGATTAAGTATATACACATCATATGTCGTAACAAATTGATGAGAACTACAAGTTTTGAGATTTGACTGTGGCGTAATGAGGGAGATGCAGTATTTTCTTAGTTTTTTGGGGCAATGTATATTAACCTTTGATCAACGAAAAGAAATTTTCCATCCATTGCGTGCCGTGAAACAAATTTAATAGGTCTCAATCGTGGCTTCTTCGGTAGAGTTGTAGGTATCGTGGACTGCAACCGGCCAACTGCCACCAAACACGACAAATTGCAGGCATCTCCATCGCCGTCACCTTCTGGTTCCTCCAACTCAATTTTCGCAGGTGCCCAAGATTTTAGATAACCGGTGCACTGGATTACACAGTACTTCCAATCTGGAAAAAATACGGACTTCATACTGTTCCACTTTAATTGGATTTCATTTGCTTTGAAATCCCCCTGAATTGGAAAGATTCTGACCATGAAAATCGTGAATTTCTACAAACTCGTCTGTACACACTTACATAAAAAAAATTTACACTTCTGTACATTATGTCTGGGATTTGGCTTAACTCTTACAAGGAGAGTATCCCAATGCTTTTGCCGGAATCCGAATGCTTTGGTTTTCAGATAGCTTTAGAGGACCGAAAAATAAGAAATACGTATTTTTTTTATCGGCCCGTTTTCATACATAGGGGGTCAAACCATCCCTCAAAGTTTCGACCTGGAAGTAGTATCTCGAAATCCAGAGGAGATACACGAAAACTTTGAATGGGCGAGTTTCCTGGTTTTTTTAGTTGCAATAATATGATGCTAACAAATTGTCAAAAATACAATTTGTTTATAACAAAAAACTTTTTATAACTATTGAAATTTACATAATGACAAATCCATTTGTATATATTTTTTTAAATTGCCTCCTACAGGCTCGCAGGTTTGTATTACTTATGTATATCCTGTGCGCACGCCTGCTGTTTCAGCTTCCAGTTGTTATGGCTTTCGGAAAATATATTAATATTAATTCGTAAAATATATTAACATTAAAATAATGGTCAATTTTGATTTTTCAAAAATGTCTTTTTGTTTTCATAATTTATTTTAACTTTTAGAATATTTGAAATGTTGTCAATGAAGCGTAAATTTTCGAGAATCCAACAGCTAGTCGTGTTCGTAGAATTGACTTTTTAACTACAGTTTTTGTGAGTGAAAATGATTATTAATCCGATGAACGTGATCAATTTGTTATTAGTAGACTGCAGATTACATGCAAAATAAAATTGTCTAAAGTAATTCTTGAAGATAAGAACAAAGGTAGGAATTTCTATCTTTTCTTAAGTATGTCATTGAGTTAAGAATAAAATGTAAAAGTTGTTGCATCCGATGAATGTTTTTATTGTATTTCACAGAGCTCTAGAGTCTATAAATGCATAAAATCCGCAGTCTAGTTATTAGTAATATTTCGAACAATGTACTTGATGGAAACTCCTGTAACAAGGGAGGAAATACAATTGAAAGAATCGATACAGAAAATGTTGCTTGATAGCGTATTTGAATTTAACGAAGTCGAAGTTTCGGAAGAGTTACCATTGATGAATTATCTGTTGATGAAGGTGATAAAAATGAAAATTGGTCTGAAGAAACATATGCAGGAGTTTGTTCACAGCGTGACGAAGATGTTAATGTTTAGTATAAGCGGAGAGCAGTAGCATTTTGGATAGACGGAGAAAGAAAAAGGAAGCTTAATACAGTTCAACATTATTTTAAACTTGTTTCTTCTGAACGACAATTACGACGATGGGTTCACTAAGTTGGAGGAGGAGGAACCAGACGTTGCCCCGCGGGCACGCGAGTTCATGGGGTCACAGCTGCGGTGACTCTCGCGCTGCCCGGGTCGAGGTGGTGATACTGGGGGTACCGCCCCTTTTGCGGCCGGCTCAAAGGAGACAGCGTCGAGTGGTGACCCCTCGACGTAGGTAGGAGGAGCAGTCGCCCCCCCCCCTCCCCAGAGAAGGGAGGGTCAAGGGCGGGGCTGGTCACGCTAGTGTGCTTGGCGTACCCGTGACCACCGCGAAAACCAAAACAATCAGAAGCGGACATCTGGGATACTCTCATTGTTGAAAGCACAGGGTTTTACAATAAAAAAATTCCTACTTGCAGACATTTTTGTATATAAACTGTGTTAAATTATTATTTTATTTCAATTATGTTTCACTTTTAGTAATTTCACGATTTGAAGGTCGTATGAATAACGTCTCACTCTGTGAGTTCGGTATAAAAAAAGGTGGGACATTTTTCATACCACCGTATTTCAAAGAGTTAAATTGAAACATGTTATAGTTGGAATAACATGTTAAAATACGAGGGATTTAAGTCATCATTTCGCCGATTGTGAAATTGTTAAAAAGATACAGACCCTCAAATTTGGCAATTTTCACCGATTCTTACGAAAACCGCCGCGGCGAGCTTATCTGAATTGCCAGACGCCGTGATTTTTGTCGGCCTGATGCGACTACAATTTTGAAGCTTTCGTGAATAAAAAAAAGTATTTTAAACGGAAAAGACCACAGAATACGGATATATTTTTTTCACATTTTTTCAGACTTGAGCTGGGGCATATTTAAAAAACAAAAATATTTGTAATATTTCTGCATTGCAAAAATTACTTCTTGTACAAAAACAATTAACTAAAAAGAATGATCTCTTGCGATTAAAGCGAAAGAAAAATCAGGTTCGTATTTTTAATAATTGAGGAGATAAAAATTTTGTTGTGAAAGTAGTTTTCCTAGAAATTGCTGAAAATTTCCATATTTGAGGGTCTGCATCTTTTAAACAATTTACTTATTTCTATTAACAATTAATCTATTTCTCAATGGACAATAATCTATTTCAATTGGAGCAAAATCCTAGACATCGTGTACAAATGTGACCTGCTTGGTGTGGATTAACCCAAAAGAAAATAGGTAAAGCGATCTTTTCACCGAAATCATGTGCAGTTTCCGTGTTTGACGAAACACGCGGCAAAATACTTGCGTCCAGGTATGTCAGGAATGATGAAAAAGAGATAGTGACACTGAATCTTTTGGAGAGAAAGGGAGGGGTAGAGAGAAGGCGAGAGGGAGAATGGGAGCTTTCAGTACATAGGTATTCCTTTACGCCAAGGGTGTCCAACCTTTCGGCTTTCTTGGCCCACATTTGAAGAAAAAAAATTGACTCGGGACATGAAATATCCTAATACTTAACCATAGTTGTTAAGCAAAGAAGTTAGTAATTAATGTACAATTATGATATGCACCATGCCAAATAAGCAAAAATGTCGTAACTGAATAATCTTTGACCTCTTTTCGTACAGAATTTTTTTAATCTGAATGTTTTAAGTATTTCAGTAGTTAAGTAACATTACAGTATTGGGCCGCGGGTTGGACAGCCCTGCCTTACGTTGTTGGACTGATGTAACAGATCGAAAAATTTACAAATGTTTTGTTTTGGGGAATTGCACCTGACGCTGCGACTGAAATAATGCAGAAGCAAAGCATGTAACAGCAAATAGAACTATGAGATCTGTTTTGGAGATTGTTTTACGCCTGTTTTGTAATAATTATATTTCAATATCTCAATTAATGATAACAGTGTTCAACACGAATTTTGATCTGCAATGTCCACTAGGGAGATCCTTATAGAGTTTCCCGTTCAAATCACGAATTCAGAAACAGAAAGTCTCCATCTCCCTCAGTTTTTGGAAACCACGAGTTTTGGTTATGGATATATCAGTATATACAATTATTAAATTTTGTAATTGTCAATGGTCGTAAATTGTTGTCAAAGTTTAAAAAAGAGCCGATATGCGTACTTTCTATGCAATGTTCATGCATTTTTACGAAAAGTTCTTCACCTAGGACGAATTTGCTGCACAGTATCGAATTCTATAAAGATGTATGAAGAAGGAACCATCCAGAAAAATTGTCGGAACGGTTTTTAATTCGAACAGGTCCGGAAAATATCCGTCAGCAGCGTGTGCACGGTGTTTTGCCTCCACGCAGCCACTACTCGCTTACCTCGACTCTTCAGTGCCGTAGCTATGCGAAATCGACACCGATACTTCCTTGCCATATGCATGTTTGATTTTTTTCATGTGTTCTTGGTTACTAACACGCCATTATAATGAACTTTTTGTTGTTAGAATCTTATCATTTTTACGTGTTTTTATTTCATAAAGATTGCACATGTATATAAAAATATATTATATAAAGTAAATTATCACTTGAGAAGAAAAACAAATGTCTTGGTCATCGTTTTCTTGCTCCATTGGTTAATTTCTTTTTGCGATCTCTTGAACAACATTAGCACTAGTCTCCTGTGGTGCCGATGTTTCACTCATTTTAGGAACGAATTCAGTTATCAATTGTAGTGTTCGTGCTTTGGCTAGGCCATTAGATAATTCTCTCTAAGAAACCATTAGTGACTTCAGATTACGTTGAAACTTTCCAGCTCGTTCCTCATTAGGATCATGTTTGACAAAAGAATTACGTAATTTACGGGCCAGTTTAAGACTTTCATTCGAGATTTTTCACAAAATAGTTTCTTGTAATTTGGATCGATTGTGTTAACTCAAAACAATTCGTGTAAAAAGAAAATGAATTTTTTTTTCTAATTTGTGTTAAATCAAAATTGTGTACAAAAAATTGTATCTTCGTGGAAACATTTTCTATGTTGGTCACTCACGTCATCGAGGCTTGGAAAAAAAATCCAGATGAGAATGTAAAAAATGCATTTTTAGTGACTTGTTACAGCCAAGTTTTTTGACAACTTTTTAAAAGGCCACTGACAATAATGATATAATTTCTTTATCTGTGTTTGCCGAGCAAATTGTGTGTGATTTTTTAAAAGAAAGCCATACTGTTTTTTCCAAATTACGCAGTTTGTCGCTAAAATTTTGGTCTTTCATCAAATCTCTGATTAGGGGACCAACAATATATCTTCTCCTATTTTTGCATGAGATGAATTAAATTTATGACATGATGTCGCATTCTCTTTACTTATTCAAACGACCGTTTTTACTATACTTAGATGATCTATGAATTAAGTCTGTCTAATCTTCTGAAGTCGAGAGAGAATAATATTAACGCTGGTGAACAATTCAATATAACAACAGAATATGTTCATAAGACGTATTAGAAAAAATACTATGTTCTATGACGCGAAGCACATCTTATAGAATTCTTAATGAAGGATAGAGTTGTTCAAAACTGACTCGTCGCTATTGCACACATTTTGTGTGTCGTTCGTAAACAAATGTATCTCTGGATATCATTCATTCTTACCGAATTAGAAAAATGCGACAGAAATAATTATAAGTCGTGATTGTCAGAGATGACAGTAATTACTGACTCTCGTTAATTTGTCTCGGTTATGTAAAGATATACCCTTTTTTCGGTTATAAATAGCACGTGCAAATGCTAGCGATGTGATTACGTCAGTGTCGTTCCATTATTCCATTTCACCTACTTTCTAACAACAGTTTCACCTTAGTAGAACGTAATCCCTGTTTTTATGAGTTAAGTACCATTTATGCCGAGAGACGTAGAATTCGTGATTTTCGTAGTCAGGATCATTGGGATTTAGATGGGTTTTGAAGATAGGATCTTTTAAGATTGTAGAAATTTAGTTTAATATTTTTTTGCAGCCTTACAGTGCAGAATTTGTCGTTCAAATACATAAAAAGGGACGGTAAGAAACATAATGAATATGTGAATACTGTGATACGCGCTCTGTAGTTAACTTTCCTTTGGTTGTTTAATATAAATGGTAAAGTTGTGATTATAAATTTGGTTGATTCATTATAGTCACGTATTTGCGTTATGCGTGTCAATTAGTTGTCCAAGTATGTATTGAGTAAAACATTGAGACAGCTTACCGATGTTTTGCTGCTTTTTTCGTCGATGACAACCGCTGGTGGTGTCAGCTTCCTCTTTCACTTGCAATTCACCGCAACGAACACTCTCCACTTTTCGCTTCATTCTGCAGAAAAAGGACCTACGCGCGCCAGGACAGAGCCTCGATACACCCTGGGGCACGTCGGTTTTCACTGGTAACATTGCTAAGAAAATAACAACCAATTTTAATTATTTACATTACTCTCTCGTTTAGTAAACGAAATAACACGTTTATTCACATATGTGTACAAATAGAACTAATTGTGACATTTCTGTCATGTGGTTTTCTCTATTTATTTATTACCATTCTTGCGTGGTATATTTTTCTTACTTTCTCGATGAACTGAACTACTATAAATTTTCTTAAAATTAAAGTCAATCTGATCCATTTAGTTATTAATACATTTTCTTTAAAATAAAATGTATTCCGTCTCTAAAATTAGAATTAACAGTAAAAAGATATTATGTGATTCCTATTTATTCATTTACTACCATACTTTTGTAACTGATTATTCTTGACTTTGAAATGAAAAGTAAAGTTTTTGTTTCTCAGCAAATTGAGATGCGTTTCCATGAAAATATTGGTAAAGAATAATACAGATTTTATTATCCCTTTTGGTTCTAATCCAGTGAAACCATTCATCTTTAGTTGATTTCTGCTTTCCTTAATTTTATATTAAAAAGTCAGAATTTTACAAAATTTAGAGAATTATTTATTGGTATCTTATGATAGTCGACAAATATTTATAAATTTGTACATTGTACATAATACATACAATAAACACATTTTCCGTTCAACGTATTATAATTTTATATCGAGTATTCCCGTTTCAATGATCGAACTAAATGTCAAAACAGCCTTGAAAAATGTCCAAGCAGCTTCTGCTTTTGTGTTTTTCTCACGGTCCCGCGAATCGGCTTTGACGCGTGCGATTATTGGAAAATGTCTTGCTAGTTTCCCCGGAAGAATGCATATGTTGCATATTTCCAGTCAAATCAGCCTTGACGAGAATAGGAAACGAGGAAGTTCGGGGATCAAAGGCTTTTTCGTGAACAGTAACACTTCAACCCTCTAAACATCAATTAGTGAAAAGAATTTTGGTAAATTCTCTGTAAGCAGAATTAAATTTCGAAAACAATAGACACGTATAATGTAATTATGTTAAAAAGATTTAAAATAAATTTTCTTTACCAATAGATGCATCTTATTTTAATAGTTGAAAAAAGATCGAACTTTTTACTGCGGTGTACGAAGAATAAATCGGCATGTGGGGGGTGTTGTTAAATTATTTCTGATTCTACACAGGTGCATCGTGTACGTAGGTCACTCTAAAAGTTTCCGGTCTAAAATAATAGAAAAATCGGAGCAAGTTGTATTTTGACTTAGCATACAGGGAGAGCCTGAGATCATAAGATATGCTATGACTCCCTGCTTCATCTCTAACTTTCTGTAAATTACAAAAATAAGAAGTCAATCTTCACCATGAACCTTCAGAACTAACCTTTCCGTGCTATGATCTACTACGACTTTAAAAGCGGTTTGTCAGGATAGGAATGTTTACAAAGGTCGTGCAATGGTTTTGACGAGAAAAGTCCTTCCAGAACAATTGTAAACTGGTGTTATGCGGAATTTAAGTGACGAAGACAGAAGTAGATGCCTCGCAACTGCTGTTACCGAGGAAACAGTGGCGAAAACAGAAAAATTTATTATGGAAAATTACAACGTATCATACATCGAGCTACAGCGCAGTCTAGATATTGAATCGGCTACAGTTGAAAAGATTTCGCACGAATACTTACGTCTCAGCATGGTTCGTGCGTGTTGGGTGTCTCATATACTTATCGAAACCGATAAAGACGTGAGAGTAGATTCATGTCATTTTATGATTGATAAATTTAAGGTCGAAAAGTCTAAGCGCGTTTTTTATATTGTTAGTTCATATGACATTTTTGTGTTTCCAATTGTTAAGAAAAAGCTAAGTGGAAGAAAATTTCAGTCGCCCAAAAAAGCCGTGCCTGTATTTATAGAAAAATTGTTTTAGTAAATAGTTTCATGGTGTAGGGTGCATGTTTACGTTGCCAGGTATGTACCCTGCCATGTGGATCCCCAGGCTAGTGGAAGTGCCAGTGACCCAATTAGGTCTCCTTTGACACTGATATCGCGAAACACAGAAGATTCGTGAACGGGTTAACGTGAAAACGTGAAGGTTGTCCTGAAACACATTCACTGTAAACAATGAAATATTTCACGGAGATTCAGTAGCTTTACATCCACGAGCAGACTTCTATAGCAACACGTGACGGAGATGCTCGATTTTATTCACTTTGGACTCCATAGTTTTTAAACTGAAGCTTCATTGCTGCTAACGCGATACGAAAAATTTCATACACAATTCTGGTATATAAAAGCAAATGCTATTCAATTGTACAATACATCGCATACAGGCGATTTGTATTAGAAGAAATTCATCATGACATGATATTCGCACGAATTTATTGTACTATATAATATTAGATCTACCGGAAAGTTCTGTCCGATAATGTCATCTTAAGCTTCGACATTTATGAACGTGTTCGTTTGAAACATATGACTGCCTATTTTTATTATTGTGCGGGGTGATTCTCTCGCTGCGCAAATCAAATCATTATATTGTTCAGTAAATATTAATAAATGTATTGATAATGTATTATTTTCTTTTAATTTGAAAACGGACAGAACTTTTCAGTAGATCTAATACAAACAGGCAAATGCTGATTAAAAAGTGAGGGTGTACTTAGGGAGTTTCTCTCGTGAGGTCTGGGTTAGGTGTAACAAAAATGTTGCTCGACAGGCCTCCTTGAAATGGGACACTCGTGTGGCAATTTGGAACAAGTTTTTCCTTAGCAAAAATGTAATTTGAGGCTTTGTTAACGAGATATTAACGAAAAGCCCCGACCAATCAGCGCACGAGCATGCCGCTGGAGCTCCCGCGGTAGCGTTGGCCACGCGCCGCGCTTGTACTACAAAGCTCCGAACAAGCAAGTCGGTTGCAACGCAGGAAACTGCGTATAATAGCGAATAAAAAAGACATAACAAATAAAATCATACTTTTTATCATCTTTCGTTTGTTATTTCAAGAAATTAATGAATGAAGGATAAATGTAGGAAAATTATGTGTAACGTAAGAAAACGAATGCATAATTACTTTTTCAAACAGAATGGAAACTAATAATTATTTGAAGAGAGAGGCTAAAGAATTTGTAAATTTGCTTTTCGAATAACGTATATCCGAAAATACGCTGTCACGATGTCAGTTGATTGTTCCCTGCCTTGTCCAAATGTGGTCCTTTTTACATGGTTGTTTCGGCTAGTACACCCGTCCAATTAACACAGTTGTGAGGTGAGTTTTATGATGATAATGACGTAAATACTTGTATCGCCGAGTGTACCAATAGTGAGAACGTGTGTTCCGTTGCGTCTACCTCCTTACGCAATGTCTCTCTAAAATTGTATACACGCAGACTATTTGAAAACGTTTACTAGCTTATACTAAATTATTTAAAAGCTAATGCTATACCTTTAATTTCTAATTGTTATATATTAATCCCCACATACCCTGTAATCCAATCGCAGTTAATATGTTATTTACAACATTGTCTCCATTTTCTAAATTTTTAATAATTTACTGGTGTCAGTATTGTTTAGATGAACAGACAGATGAAAATGATTTTTTTTAAGTTGTAGTTACTGTACCCCCTTTCTCGGTTACGTGTGCTTTGTGTGCCATGTGTGGCCCTCGTTCAAAGTGTCACATCATTGAAAAGTTCGTTCTGACAAGTATTATTTAACATATTTCATGATTCTCACTGCATTCTATTTAATAATCATTGCTTCACGGTTCTAAATATCATTTCATTTTTATCTGTACCTGTTAGGTCGTCATCGTGATCAGTGTTTCAGTCAGTCTTCTTCACCAATACAGTGCTCAATCGATTAGCCGTATCAAAAATGACGACGCAAGATCTTTAAGATTTAGAAAGTAAATTGATGCCGATTAGTCCTGCGGCAACAGTGATTAACGATCCCAAGTATCCAAGAATCTCTTGATCCACGATCTTTTGCAATACTCTTATCTCGCGCCGCTAATTCGAAGCTGGTCATCGACAAACAGATGCTGTCGAACAACTGACATTTATCAGGTAGACACTGTCAGTTGAAATGGGTAACGGCGCAAACCGGCCAACAGAATGTCGAAAGGTGTTATCATTACTGGATTCTCAGGTACAAAGTCCACAAAGGGAACAAATAAATTTTGACTAGCAATGAGAGCAACTTCGGTGTTTTTCTTTCGTGAATCGTGAACAGTTATTAGGTAAGTAGCAAAACATTCAATGTTAATTTTTATGTAACCTTGCAGATTTTTAGTATCTGCGTTTTTCGTATTTGCGGTTAGTTGGGGATTGGAGACCCCGCTGTTAATTCATATAATTAGAAAACAAGTACAGACAGATAAAAAGGTTAAATAAGAAAGTTGTTTGGCTTGTTGAGAGGAATAATATTATAGAATAAAAATCTTCACGAAATCACAGGTGGTGCCATTAATCTGTTCGAGACGACCTGCCAAAGACTGGTCAACGCGAGAAAATAAATCCGACGTTAAGAGTTTTCTAGGATTGTGTATTTATTTTTCGTGCATTGTTACAAATTTTTCTGCCATTGCCAGACCTTTGTATGATTTGACGGAGAATAAGGATTTTGTTTGGACGCGCAGTTCGGACGAAGCTTCTGAAAGGTTGAAGAATTGTTTAACTTCGGCGCCGATTGTAGTTTTTCCTTCTCTACATGAATCTTTCATCTTAGATATGGACGCTTCAAATATTGGCACAGGAGCAGTTTTATCTCAGGTACAGGATGGTATTGGAAGAATAATTGTTTATTTTAATAAGTCCTTGAGTAAGGTAGAAAGGAATTATTGCATTACTAGAAGAGAAGTATTAGCAATTATAAAGGCTATAGGGCATTTTGATCATTATTTATATGGAAGGAAATTTATGGTATGAACAGATTATGCAGCTTCAAGATGGTTACTGTCGTTTAAGAACCCAGAAGGTCAAATAGCGAGATGGGTCGAGCGTCTTCAATAATATGATTTTGAGATCGTACATCGAAGTGCAAAATTTCATTCTAACGCTGATGCGTTGTATAGAAGGCCTTGTTTAGAAATTAGTCATAAACATTGTGTTGACGTTGAGAATGAAGAGAAACTGTCACAAGTTGAGGAGATTCCAGTTTTTTGGACGGGATGTAAATTGTTTGATGTTCAAAGATTGAATTTTTTCCGAGGAGTAGGTTTTTAATTTGAAACTAATATTGAGTAGTAAAGTGTCTGGTAAAAAACCTTCTGAAGAGTCACTATCACCTTTGTCATCGGAAATGTGTGGGAAGTATGGATACGTATCAAAACTTTGGTATCAAGTATTCATACCGACTCTTCTTGAATCGATACCAATCCAATACCGCACTGAATCGAAACCCGTTTGATACCTCTAATGCCGAGTATTAAACGACATGGCGTTTGACTGAATGTGGGGTGATAAGAATGTATGCTATCGCCGTGTTGGCGATACACACACACACCCATTCCTCGATTTATACGGTTTCGTTTCATACGGTTTTTAAATTTAAAAGAAGGAATAGGTATCTTCTATGTTTTATTTCGATTATTTTACCCCTACGTATACAAATATATAGTACATACAGTATGGTTTTTACTTTTATTTATTTGATTTGTTATGGAACATTGCTAATTTATTCTTATGCGTTTTCTATTATAATAAATGAATTGAAATATCCAGGGTGTAACAAAAATGTTGTCCGACCCAGAAATGGGGCACTCTTTATGGATGTTCCTTGCAAGATTTCTTTCGCTCAACATGAGCCAGATTATATTTATATAACATTATACGGGGTATAACAAAAACAGCTAGATAAATTTGGAAGCTCATTGTAGCAATTTTTAAGATTAAAAGACTTTATATAAACAACATTCTCAAAAATTCTCCAGGGTGCGGCTGCTTGTCTATAAACACGTTACTAGTCTATAGTGTAGTGCATAGGTACAAGCATGAAACACTAGGAGTTAAGTGAACAATTTCTAAAGCTCATTTGGCAGAAATGATATCAGAAAAATATATTTAAATTAAACGTACTTTTGGCGTCTATCAGTCGTTCACGCGGACTAAGATCCGATGATGATAATTGTTCCTTGACCTTAGCGACGTCTTTCGGGTGCAGGATGTCGAACCAACTCTGACCCAGCAAGTCACCCTGCGCAAAAAATCAAGTTTCACATATTTTTATCCCAGCATAAACTTGTATGTACCTGAACTACGGGTGTTCATGTAAAACTTTTTACAAGTTTTCACGTACCAGTCATATTTATTGTTTTGGCTTCTTTTATTAGCCAAAGAAAAGTTTTACTGGCCATGCAGAAAATGAAATCTGTGTTGAGCTACATTCAAGTCTCTTGTTACGTTTTCTTTAGTTATATTTACAAATTCATAAACAGGATATACATACAGGGTGTTCACTTTAATAGTCCGATCGAGTTTTGAGTCGTTTGTGGCAATGTAATAAAATAAGTTTGCAACCAAAATTTCGCTGCGTTGAGTGGACAACATACAATGATATACAAACACTTCAAAAAAATATTTTTTTCATAATGAACTCAAAGTTATCTTGAGCTTTTTAATCAAAATCATATATTTTGTTTCATTATATTGTAGGTGACATTAAGGCGAATTCAGCCAATACAAAATGTGACACTTTTACCCATACAACACTAAATTTATAGCAGCGGAAGTAGTAGTAAGTACTTGTGTTTTTCGCTCACAATCAGTCTTAAGTGCGGATAAATCTGGGGAACATGCTTTGATGGATGCAAAGATCGGATGCCACTGTTGTAAATTCAGTATTGTGAGAATTGAATCAAATAGAACATTTTATACTATGCATACATGATATATTATGTAACATATACAAGATGTAACAAAAATGTTGTCCGACCCAGAAAGGGGGCATTGGGGGGGGGGGGGGGGATTGGAACAACTTTTTCCTTAGCAACAATCCAATCTGATGCTTTGTTACCGAGATATTAACGAAAAACCCCGACCAATCAGACCGCGAGTTTGCCAGCTGAGTTTCCGCGCTAGCGGTGGCTACGCGCTGTGATTTGTAGCGAACACTACCGCGGGAACTCGGCTGGCAAACTCGCGCTCTGATTGGTCGGGCTTTTTCGTTAATATCTCGGTAACGAAGCCTCAGATTACATTATTGCTAAGGAAAAACTTGTTCCAATTCACCCCCCGAGTGCCCCCTTTCCGGGTCGGACAACATTTTTGTTACACCTTTTATACAAACACGCACACGCACACTCACTCACACTGACACTCACACACACACGTACAAGAGGATTCCCGCACGACGATGTGTGGCGTTCAGCTTTTGAAACGACAATGCATAATCGAGTTGACCATCAGTCTCCAATAAAAAACGACAATTTTGTCATAATGAACGCTTGTACTATGGAAACAACACAAACCGACCGATGACGTTCGTTTGATTTTTTGAGTTCAAACCGTTAGAAACAATTTGCTCATCGCGTAAACGTGGCACTCCTCAACTACGTAGCTAGGTAGCCGTTCTAACTAATTAACTTACATCGTGTTTGGACTCTTTCATGAAGGGATTATCCTACTTTGATGGCCGAAAAATTAAGCTATCTGTAGGGATTTTTTCTTCGGTAAATACAATATGTAATCAAAGTCATCGTTTTAGTATTTATTGAACTACTTATTAATAATATAAAAAATTGCAAATATATTTTTATTATGTTTTATTTTAAGTTTCTTCTTAGCATGGAAGTGACATCTCAGAAAAATGTATCTCCATGGCGCAGGTGATTTCTCAGCTCAGACTCATCTGAAACAAAAAATTCAAGAGGAATGTTAATTATGTAGTATAAGTGCTGCTATCGCAGGAAGCACAATAAATAATATACCTTATAAAATAACAAAATAACGCGGGTCCAATGCAAAAGTTAAAGAACAAAATTTTTCGGTGATTTTGTTATGTAACAACTATGAAAAATGAAAGATATAAACATAACTGTGCTTCCTGCAATAGCGGCACTCATACTACGTATTTAATATTCTTCTTGAATTTTCTGTTTCCAATGAATCTTACAAGCTGAGAAATCACTTGCACCATGGAGATACCTTATTTTGAGATGTCACTTTTATACTAAGAAAAAATTTAAAACAAAATATAACAATATTATTTTTGCAATTCTTGTATATTATTTATAAGTAGTGCAATAAATACTAAAACAATGCATGTGATTACATATTGTATTTACTGAGGAAAAAACCCTAAAGATAGCTTAACCTTTTCGGTTGTCAAAGTAGAATGTTCTTTTAAGGCTTTATATTTACATAGATGAGACAAAAAATTGATTTTTTTTTATTTTTACACATTTGAAGAGCTTTGGATTTTGGAAATGGAGTCTGAAAACTTCAATTTAACATCACAAAAAATAACGAAGCTACACAATTCTGAATGCATCAAGTGTGAGTACTCGAACGTTGCTAGGTACCTAGTTTTATAGTGTGCGGATTGGGATTTCAGAAAAATGCAATATCACAGAATTTCGACATTTTTATTTTCTATATATGTAAGAGACATCGTATATTCAGGAATAATTAATCGATTCACTTGCTTGCAACTTATGTAAGATATTATTAGAAACCCTACAAGATCAATTACGTTCTCAGTATATAAAAAATTCACTTTAAAGTGTTTAATGATTAAAGAAAAGAACGAGTTTTTCCATGAAAGGAAATCGTAATTCAAGATAAAAAAATGTCAACGACATTTATCTTTTATTCATTCTTAATAATTTGATTTTTTGTCTTCAGGTAAATCGTTTATGTGGATGACAGTGTTCACCGGCCAATGTTTTCGAAAAAAAAAATAAAAAGAAACAACTACTGATAGTGTATACATATATGTATGTATGCATGCATACATCGACATCTTCTTTAGCTAATATTTTTCAATCGAAATCTAGGATAATTTAAGAGAAAGGTAGCTATATATTTTAGAGGAAAAACATTTTGGTTCATTGTTACAACTGTATTATCTCCTAAAAAAATTTCGTAATTTGTACGTTTTCTAGGCCCCTGGATAGATGAAATCGCTTAAAACAACATCTCCAGTCGATTAGCAATATTCCCACAGTGAAATTTCCGTGTAACTGATAAATGTCTAATTCTATGCTTTTCCAATGAAAGGTTTTGCGAGCGAAATGAGTAAAGAATTGAGTGGAGCAGAATTCACTCGTACTCATCAGGGGTAAATTCTTTTCACTAATCCAGATCGTCCTATGTTTCCAATTTAATCGAGTGTATTTCATTTCTTTATAATAAAAAGCAGTGGACTACTGATTAATATAATTTTTAGTAATCATTGATATTTAATAATTAGGTACACATATCAGACTAATTGACTGTAGTGCATTACCACTAGTCTTTTAAAAAATTTGATATAAAATGTGCGAAATGATACTGATCGGAAATTAATATTTCTTAAAATACTATGTGTTTTTGGTGCGTTGTTATCAGTAGCTAATGAAATTGACCGGTTACCTGAGAATAGTTAAGAGTCTGCAAAACAGACTCGGACACGTAGAGGATTCGTCCACGATCGCAACCCACCACGAAGACAAAACCCTCCGCAGCCTGAAACATAAGAAGCCGCCTTCTATTACGTCACCAGGATCAAATACCTATTAGCCCTGCTATAGTCTTCGGGTCTATTTCGATCCGATTGGGTCACGTTTTCGTTTCTTTAACGCTGTTAAGAATTTACAATTTTCCCGATTTATCTTTAATTTGGTCTCTTCAGAAATGTTCTTCGGTTTGCAAAAGTGTACAGAAATTGTTACTGTTCTGCGTGTTTCTCCTTCCTCGTATATTATTTCGAATCTGTAATCGAGGACCGTAGCAGAGTTAATGGTGATTATGCAATCGGCGCACACCGGTAAATCCATGTACATACACATTTACGTACATACATTGATTGTTATCGGCGACCGTTCAACATTGATTTAATTACACTGTTCAACAAATTTTTACCTATTTTCTATTTCCTAACCGTTAATAAGTATCTCTGATAGATCTTTATACGCTGAATACAAATCTTAAGACCGTTTTTGCTCAGAACGTACAGTTTTTGAGAAAATCAATTTTTAAAAGATTGCAAATTTTCAATTTTGCAGATGTTTTCTACATCTACAGTAATAGTTATTCAGTTGCTTGTTACATGAAACAATCCTCTGGACTCTCCTGAACAAAATGATGTAAATTGTTATTATATTATAGATATCTATATACGTTTAAATAATAATCCAAATAGAAAGGACACTGAAACGCACCAATGAATGAATACTTAAGAGATTTTGCAATGATTAACGTCGAATTTTAAATAATAATAATATTAATAAATATTTGGCACATGAAAATTACATTTTTTAATATCTATACCTTTTTATAATGTACAGATTTTAATTTGAAAAATTTGAAATATGTAATTAATTAAATATAGAAGATAAAATACAGATTTCACCAGATGAATGAACAGTATCTAGTGAATGAACATTTATAATCAGATTGAAAGAAGGAATTGAAAGAAATCAGTATTTAACACTTTCGGTGTGGCAATACTTTTGACGATTGAGTCGCGTGTGCGCGGAATATTCAACTGTTTATGGCATTATAACTATTTATGAAACGTGTATACTTATACTTACACGTTCATAGCGCTCGTAGCGGCCAATTCATGGAACGTGTAGGGGAGACCAGGGACAAACATAACAATTTTTCTTTTTGAGTCTGCAACTTTCGAATACAGTAGAATTTAAAAGAAATTCTTATACACGTACGACGAGAAACCTTGATTATTGGATAACATCTTCTTTAAAATCAGAGAATTGAGGCTTTCACGGCCCGGCATTAGGGGTGTGCGAGTACTCGTAATTTACGAGCTGAGCTGAACTCGGTTCGATTTCTCGAGTCCAGTCGAGCGTTTGAATTTTCCGAGCTACTTAAAATCGACGAAATGTTTGAAAAAAATGCGAGCTACTTGAAAAACTCAAAGGGGTTGAATATTCGAGCGCTCGTGAGACTTCGATTTATTTAATAATGAATTTTCACCTCGAAAATTTTCAAATTACTCGAATATATTCGAACAGATCTTTAACTTTCAAGTTACTCGAATATTTATCTATTTATATTATATAACTTTCGTAAATCAGAGTTTTTTTATTTTGCGTTTGTTTCAGGGATATGAATGTTACCTTTTATTTTTTAAACGAAACTGCTGCATTTTTACATTTTTTCGTAAACAGTGTAACGCCTGCTTAATTAATGCATGTAATCAATTGCATTAATTAAATAAATTCTTAAGTAATGCAAAATTTTGACGGGTGTCTATAGTCATCTTTAGGATACAAGAAACATTCAGCAAGGGGAACTAGAATCGTCGTTAGTAGCGAAAACGTTCAAGTAAGAAAGAGCCGAAAGATATTACAAATTTAAGATATTACTATTTAATATATTTTACATTATAACATGTAACATATAATATTTAAGCATAGAGATCTGATAGTGAGAAATTTTAGAAAATGGAATCGGTCAGTTTGGTTCTTAGTCTTCTAAGTCCATTAAGTGTGCAATTTTCATGGGCATTACCGTTTTCATAGATCATTTTATAAAAATACATGCAAGAGAAAGTTTTGTCTCGCTAAGATCAAAATTAAAAGAAAAGATCAATAATAAGGTAATAATTTCTAATTGCTGTCTCATGTATGCGAATTTCTACGCAGCAAGTGAATCAAGATATTGGTTCGATATCACAAATTGAACTACATAAAAGTGAATATAATAAAAAATACGAAAACAGGCACAGGTTGTAGTAAATATGAATACGTGACCGGCAGTTCCATGATCACCAGGAAGTCATTGCGTCAATCGAGTAATTCCTTTTAAATTAAAAGAAAACAAAAAAGAATGTGCCCGTGTCCGGTTTCGTCATATCGGAGCCTGTAATCAAGGATTCCGGGTTTACGGTTATTATCCGTGATACGATAAGAATTATTAATTCGCTCGTGAGCCGGACACTGGAGAGTAATAAACTCGGCGCGGTTCACAATGAAAGTTTCTGCGGTAATAATGGAGCTGGTATGCCGGGCGTGGTCGATAGCTCGAATATTTTACTCGCGGGAGCGAACGAAAGCCCAGATAAAAGATATACATACGTGTCTTACGTATCGCACTCGACAATGAAAAATATAGTGGCCACTATGTGTGCTCAGTCGCGTGACGGAATCTGAAGCGGAAAGGAACTGTAGCCTATAGCCATTCCATGTTACTCCTGTTTGCTCATGGGGAAAATAATCTCGGTATTTCACCAGAAAATGTAGAACAACGTAATCCAATTCACAGATCAAAACATTATTAATCGAAACGAAAAAACGAACATAAATACCAGAATCAATATAAATTGTGTCTAATAAAGTTCTTGTAAGGTTTAATAAAAATTTTCAGAATAATCATACTTTGCACTATAAATTTATTTTAAATAATTATTTAGCCTTATAATATTATAAACGTCAAGAAAACGGCCATTTTATTTTCGGAAGGTGAATGGTCGGTATTAAGCCTTATTTCCACTTGCTACTAGACGCACGCGACCGTCAGCCGCACGAGATGCGAAATGACGCGACTGATTGCGAGTCACGCGCGACATAAAAATTTCTCACAATCAGTATCACAGTATTTACTAAATTTTCTAATTCTATGATGATATATCTATGTTTATATATCTATACTTCTATGTTTAAATAAATTAAAATCACTTATCCAACTGTTTTTTTTCTTTATCTAAAAGTTCTTCGCCGCCAAATGTCACAACTGTTTCTTCCCATGCAGGTTTTTCTTTATTTCTTTCAGAGTAATCTGAACATTCTATGTTCCATGTGGATGAATGATTTCTATTTCCCGAACGAAATGCTCAGAGTACAATGAATCCATGTTACGAACGTTTTCGCATATCATTTTCTCTAAAATTTTCAGTAAATTGTTGTTCGGTCGCAAGCGACTGCTTGGCACGTGGGTATTGCAACTTATAATCCCATAAACTTTGCGACTGGTGGTTGCAGCCGCGTACATACAGTACCGGACAAATGTTTTCGGACAAAAATCGTTTCTTGTATTATTTGAATTAAGGATACTACTGATGTTACATTAAATAATCAACGTCTGACTTGTGTAATTGTTATTTTCTTAGGTCGACCACACTCGATATATTTTTTAAATGTCCTCCTCGAACAAAATGTTTATTTTGTTGAATATACCGTCTATTTGGGGATGCCCAGATATCAAGAAACTATGGATGATGGCGCTCCGATTGAGACTTCTATGATACTTTCTTTTAAAAATATCAGGTGAACTTTTACCTCGTACCAACCAAGAATTGAGCCGTTTATTTTGAAAGTGGGGCAAGTCCATTTTTGAAAAAAATGAAGATAATGATAACTATAGATAAAATTTTATATCATCTTTTTATCTGTAAACAATTTATAGTCAAAATAATTCAGATTCCCTAATATGTGGGAGATGGAAGTTTTAGCTATTAACGGTATTGTAAATGTGTTTATTTTGAAAGTGATGCAAGTCCATCTTAGGTTGAAATTATTTTTAACCGAATATATTACGGCAGAATTAGGATAAATTGTTGTATGGTGAAACCAATGTGTTGGTTTTACATCATGTCTGATATATGTATGTACATATGCTGGATCACATTTACAAGGAATGCACCATACAAAATGTTATACAAAACTTCGATGGAACGACAGGCTGAATTTAAAATTATTGATTTATCACCACAACGAGAAAAACCAACTAATTTTGGAAATATAAAATTACCTTCTTTGTATGAAAAAAGTAGACCTATTACATCTGACAAATATAAGGACATCATGGATTTTTTACCATATGTACCTCCCGTTCATCATGAATATTTAAAAATGTTAAAACATAAGTAAAATTCAATATAATTATACGTATAAAGTAAATGATTAACGAAAATGTATAATTTCATTGAAATTCTTAATAAAAATGAATTGTTTTTTATGTTATATTTTCTACTGTAATATTTAAAAACCGTTTTCTTTGTTTTAGATTACTTTTCATCAAATGAATAAATATTTATATAAAATTGAACAGTATTTTGTTTTTATTATTAAAAAAAGGCTGATACAACTGAAATATCATCCGTTTAATTAACGATTACAATAATTCATTAATTTTGGAAGTGAGGCAAGACCATTTAGGTATAATAAAACCTTTATTTTTTTTAGCCAGCACTATAAACACTATTGAATAATAAACTTACATTATCTAATACCACAAAATACAAAAAATATGTCTATTAGTGCTTACCAATATTTTTAAATTTATTGAAATGCAAACCTTTAAATATCTCGCAGTAACAAAAAATGGACTTGCCCCACTTTCAAAATAAACGGCTCAATTGATAAAATAAAGATATATACAACGTTCTCGTGAGGTTCTTATTTCAGATTACAATTTATGATTGTGAATGGAACGTCCGAATACTTCTGTCCAGCTAAGTACAGATAAAACTTATTTTACATTTTGTGATACGTAGGTAGCTCCGTGTAACTTTTATGAAAGCTTGCGTCGGAATAATAATAAACACTCCGGAAGGCAGAGCTTCAGTAACATCACCATAACAACAAATACAATGAAAAGTGTCTTTGTCTGAATTCATTTTTCTGGTACTATATATAGAAATTGTGCCATATTGAACAACTTATTTTGACCGAGACTAGTCGTAAGTGGAAATAAAACTTTAGTGAGTAACGCTTAATTATCAACGGTCAGGTTACCTTAACAAATAACAGAAATAGAATCGTGCGCGTGACAAAGTAACATGACGGTTACTCTATCGAGCAAGACTGGCTGATAGAATGAACATTTTTGTCGGTTCGCGCGAGGTTAAAAGGAGGGGAAGGGGAGAAGGTAAGGCAGTCTGAAAAAAAAAGTAGCTTACGTTGGAGAGAATACCGTTAACACGGGAAAACTTGGAGAAAGTATCGAGGCAGTTCGAAGGACACGTCGGCGTACAGCAAGATTTCAAAAAACTGGTCGCCAAATGTGCACGACCGCTAAGCCGAAACGCAACCTCGAGTAGGCAGTTAAGGAAGTGAAAACGGAAAACAGAATACGATGCAAGGAATAAAAGAGTTTTATGGAAAACTGAAAAGAACGTAGGGAAAAGACTCGCCTGAACCAGGTCATCGAACGTGCACAAGTTTAAATTACAAGGCCCGAACGAACCCTTGAAAAAGTCAGAAGAGAAGAGGAGGCAGGAAATCGTACAGTAATACGAAAGATTTGGAAAGTGAACGTTATAACAATTAAATGCGCGCAAGGACGCGGTAACAGTTTTATAACCGACACAATAAAAACGAGAAAAGTTCTAATGCTGTTATCACTGATCACTTATTGTTAATGTTAGAATAATATTCTTACTAATTTATCAGAATGCAAATTCGACAAATGTTTCTTTTCACCAGCAAATGTTTCCTCAATGTCAATATTACAAGTGCGTTTTGCAGATTAACAAACGGTATAAAGCAGTCCGCTTATGAGACTGGATCTTTCGGTGATTACATGCCTAGTAACGAGAAGCGAGCATTGTCAGCTAATTGCAGATCTACAGGGTACGGACCGTTCTCTTTCACCCGTCACGAGACTGATCGCTGTGAAAAATGTGTAGCACGCCGGAGAAAGGTTAGCCAGAGCTGTTAGACGCAGTCAGTCTCCTACGAAAGGATTACGAAAGACACGGATTGCCTTTTGCAGGGAACGCAAAAACTTTTCACCCGCTTTACTGCCAACTGGCCGATTGCGGGGGCTCAACGTTATGCGATCATAAATGCGATCGCGTGGGAAAATCTTGGAGGAAATGGAAAATGAAGTGGTCCGCGTAATCAAGTTCTTCTTTTGCTAAATGCACGTTTTTTGAAATGAACATCACCAGACTGCGCCATTAACGTTCTTGGGAAGTTTCAGTAAACAATAAAACTGTCCATTACTTCAGTATGATGTTCATCACAACAATAAAATCATAAGCTACAATAGTAATGAATTCGATCGAACAACGTTTATTCCCACGCCTAAGAGTCGTTATAATTATTACACTAGTCTATGGACTTAATGAGTAATTTAATCTAAAATTCTGTCTTTTTCTACCTTATTTCGAACCAATCGTCGATTGAAAATAATCGAAGGAATCCCTGAATAATAAAATATAGGTAGAAATACTCGAAAGGTTATAATAACAGCTGACAATTTCTAAGAAACAAGAGTCGTTAATTTTTAACGTAAATCGAAACGTTAACAAGGAAACTCTTTAACGAAACTCACCTGATTGCCGGTTTGTAGTGACCCTCCGTGTACGATGTGACAGCTCCGAGAATCGTCTTCAAGTGTTGCACAGCCATTCTGAGGACAGTGAGCTTGTCCAATTTTCGAGACATCGCGTGACACATCGGTATCATTGCTGATAACTCTGTAATATAGGTGTTCATCTTGTCCCTTCTTCTCTTCTCGATCTCGCTGTGATTCTGTCTGCAATACATTTAAATCACGAACACGTTAATACGATGGCATCAAACTTTTCCCGTTTAAAAGCACGATTTATCACCAACGTTTTATTAAATATTTATACAGAATTCATTAAATTGTTGTAATTGTTCGATTTTAATTAGATAGGTGTAAGTATTCAAAAGTTGTTTATTCTTTAACAAATATGCCCATCATAACCAACACATTGTATGCAAACGCGACACCGAGTGGCTAGAGCGTAATGGAAAGATCTCACCATGCGAACGAGCGCGTGCTGCCCGAAATTGATCTCGCGCGTTTTATCTAGCGGACCCGGAAAAATTCAGGTTTTCTGTGCAACAAATTAACGTACAGCGATGAATTTTCTTTAATTTCGGGTAACTCGACGAGATATTAATAAATAGCGTGACCAATTTTGTAAAAAAATTAGTTAAAGCCCAAAATTTGTACTTTTTTGATTTTGTATGTTTTACGTTCATTCATTTTGTTCATCAGACATCGATGATGTTTAAGTTGTAAAACAGAGACAATTAAAAACTGCACATATAAATATCGTCTAAAGATATCAGAAACGTTGCAACAACCAAAAACTTGTTATTATATTTCAAATTGATTTTTTTATTTTCGATATTTATGAATATACAGTAGACTCTAACTATATTGCCACTGAACACATTGCCACACGAGGCACTTTCCCTTTACACGTACTTTCGCGCACACAAATTCGCTCTCCCACCACATTGCGTACGCCGGCGCACCAGCACGATCTAGCTTTTTCGCAGGCACTGAGGCTGATGCTATGACGATAAAACTTAGCATGGAGGGGGCACTGAAGTCATTGCCATTTTACTCCCTAACAGCCCCGAACGTGGCAATATAGTTAGAGTCTACTGTATTCACAATTTGTTACTGTCCCGCAACACGTTTGACATTTGACATTTTGTGAAAATAGAGTTAGGGGACAGAAGATTGGAAATAACTTATAATAATTATTTGTAATAATTAGCTACATGTATGTGGGATCACGACCTCCATACCCAAGAAAAAGGAGCAAATAACATCAGTGGCAAATAGGAGGGCTCCGTGGAGCAGAGTGTAGAGTCTCGGATTGCGACGCCGCACAGTGGGGTATTTGACCAGAAAAGCTGGCCAAAACCCCAAATTTTATCTTTGTTTAAAATGAATGAAACTTTATCCCTATGTCCCTAAGAATGAATAAAAGTAAACTGCCATCTTGGTTTTTCGAAAACAGCAGTATTCAGTAACAAATTGAGGCTTGAAAGTCAACAATTTTTGTGCTCGAAGAAACTGCCAAGAAACCTATATTAAGAAAGTGATTTATTACAAGTGTAGTGTTATGGAAGTGCAATAACAACATATGTAGGATATAGAGGAAGATATGTAGAGTAATTTGGCACCTTGTTTCCATCACTTTTTTGTGTGGTTTTGATAAAATAACAATTTGAAAACAGTGTTTTTTTTTGTAAAATCAAGTCTAAAACATTGAATTACTTTTTTGCACCCCAAAGCACTCCTTTGCTTTAGATATATTTTTATCCTTGGACATTGCTTTATATATTTCTTGAAAATTTAGGTGCTAGGAGGTGCTAAAACTACAGTTCTGTTCAAAAGTATCTCCTCACTTGTGCACTAGTGAAAACATATTGAGATTCAATGTTCCATAACTCTCTTAATATTCGTCAGATTTTGTTTAAGCGAAAGGAAAATTAAAGCTTAAACCTTCTACTTTTTTACTCTTTCATTCGATTTTATTTAACTCGGTGCCTAAGAGATAAAATCTTCCCTTATAAAGAGACCCTTCAAATTGTAAAATTTTGTTCATATTTGAGAACGGATGTTCCTCGTAGACAACAGTGTTCGGAATTTTGCATGTATTTCAGAAATAATGATTCTTTGCCTTCAAAACAAGCCAAACTGCATCCAAAACGGATGTTTTTTAACAAAGATATAGTCATTTACAGAAACGCAGACCATTGAACGGTGCCATGCACGAAAGACATGAAACCATAAGGAGGCAGGCGTTTCTGTAAATGGCCATAACATCATTAAAAAACATCTGTTTTGAATGCAGTTTAGCTTGTTATGAAGGCAAAGGATCATACGATAGGCGTATATTGTATGGTTGATTTCATGATGGGGTACTGCAGGTGTGGATGATAGATTGATGAAGGACAGATATATCATAAGCAAGAAATACTGTCTGATGAAGAATCTTGCACAGCATTTTCTGACGAAAATTAATTCTATTATATATTGCAAATAAAAAATATTCTTAAAATATATATTATTTTATACATTATATACCATAAATCAGAATGTTTATGATCGTAGATACAATCGACCCGCGTGCATCCACCGCTGTCAGTTGATTGTTAACCTATTAAGTAAATTTCGTCTGTCAATTCCTGACGATTGAATTTTTTAGTATGTTATTAACTTTATTAGGACTAGGGTTCGTTGATGACCTTCTATTATATGTATATATTGTACCATATGTATATGTATACATATCTTACCGTACACAAAACATTTGCAAAATATAGATTTCCTTTAAAAGGCTGTATCTTTGTTAAACAACATAGTTCTTCGATGAGGTTTAGTTTATTTTAAAGACAAACGATTATACTTTCCGGTGGTATATATCGAAATTGCAAAAAAATATTGTTTGCACTCCGTAGCAGTTGACGAACATCAAGGAAAAGTTCAGTTTGGCACACTCCTATTAAAGGGTGAATTTTACCCTTTAGACAACCAGTCTGATAAAATTGATTTAAAGAACCAAAAACTAGAAAGTTCAAACTTTAAAAAGGTTTTTGTTTGATCAAGTTTGGATGAATAGCAACAAAGTTATGAGATTTTGAAGATTGAGTAAATTTTAAAATAGTTTTGGCCAGCTTTTCGGGTCAAATACCCCACTGTGCCTCGCAACGCGCCGGTCGTGTCGCCGTGAATCAATTATGGAAGACGATTCAGTTAGTAAGTGTCGCTCTTGTCAGTGGAATAGTGCTGATTTGCCTCCCATGAATTCGCATTCACTCGTCCTCGGACAACGAATTGGACGGTAGAAGTTGGTCCGGTCGGGTTTCGGTTTCTAACCACGCGTTGACTTTGCCGGTGTTACCATTTCATTACACGAAAGTACCGGATTATTCATTCTTTCAACTAATAAGTAAATGAGAATTATCCATTAAATAATAATATATGGGAATATGTAATACACTAGTATGTATTATTATAATTTTAAGTATTGAATTTAAACTTTGAACTTAGGTATTATATAATTTATCAAATGAAAATAATGGCCAACTCATTGATAGAGCTCATATAATAAACCAAAGTTATTCTTTGTATTATAAAATTCAAGTTTAATAAAAGTACACCTGTCGCTAAGCGTCCTTACGTCTTAACATGATTAGTGTTATATTATCGCCTTGCTACTATGAATTCATCTTAATCGTTGCTTTTTAATTTGTGGTAGTTGTAATAGAGTCGTATGTATTATGTACATAAATTATTAGTGGATGATTCAATGGTTCAGTCAATATTTGAACTGTCTTTTTCACAATCGTGCCCGCAATCACGTGAACGCAGATTGGATTTATGGCGTCGCGTGCTGAAGCCAGAGCAAAGAATCAAGGTAGGTCAAGGTGGCAGTTACCTTGCCAGTACCTGCTTGACATAATATCGCGTAACTGCTGTCCAAGTTTTTTTAGGTATGGTCAGTGCGCCGAAACCGCGTGAACACTGTGTTTATCAATCTCCATTGATGTTATTAACATTAGGGAAGACCAGGGACAAACGTAACTTTTTTTCTGGTTGAGTCTGTAGTTTTAAAAGTGTTTTTTTTTTTAACACGATCACTGCAGTAAGAAACATTTATGTCTCATATTGTACCTTTGCTTGTACGAGCTATATTATTTTCAACTTTCAAATCTGCTGAAATGATATATTTTCTCATTTTTGTCAGTAAAACTGGAAATGATCGACTTCATGAAAGTTCTAGCAGGACACATATAGCGTTCTGAATCTGTTAACTGACAACAGAGCGTACAAAATTACATTCTGATACTTCCTTAGTTTAATACAAGGGGCATATGCGAGATTTGTTTCCAACTTCTTTAATGAAGAAACTGTTTAATTTACAAATTAAAGCAAATTATTACACCCTTTCTAGTCGCCTCCAGTGTCATCTTATTTACGTAATTATCGTACAGTAATTAATAACATAATCGTTTCTTTGGGTTATAAATTAGGAATGCAAATAATTTTCATATCACCTACTTTACCTTTTTATAATCTCCTTGTTATTACTTTTTTTCTAGCAACACAAAGAGAAAAGTATTAACGAGTACACAGTGTGTTTCCGACATGCTGCATATGTATATTAAACGTTCAAAAAAATAGTATTGTTCCGTCTAGGAAATCTTGTAGTTTTTACTCCATTCATCAGTCTTTTCAGTACCAGATTAAGCATTTAGAGTTAGAGCATTGAAATACCCTGAAGCAGTAAGAAACTTTAATACAAGGATTTCATCCGAAAATGTGTTGAAGAATTTCTTAACCAAAAGTATAGAAATTTGCTATATCAGAAATAACAGGCCTGGACAAACATTCGCCAGTGGGACCCCATAAACAATAACACCAGCCCCCACTACTTGCTTGTATTATGTTGTCATCCATGGACAGGAGGTGCGCGCGCATGCTGACTGTCCCCACTTTCGGCACTCCCGAAGTCCCTACCATAGACATATGTATATAGACGGAGCATAAGCTACCACTTTGGGCGAGGGGACCGTAGGATTGGAGGGGAGGAGACAACGGTCGTTAGATATACGTCGGTTAGCTTCGGATGCATTCGGCTCGATTCGACTCGTTATTAACACTAGGTTTACGGGCACTTATCGTGTAGGTATCTCAACGGCACGCATCAACGAACCCGCAGATTTTCTTTAAAAAACAACTTATTTTATATAATACACAATTCATGATCTCTGAAATTAATCCATAGCTATAGAGATAGGTATACCACATAGAGAATTTCGAGGTTAAAAAGCATTCAAAATGCGTCAAAATGACGCGTCCCGTAAACCTAGTGTTAATGGCTGGTGGGCTGTGTGCCATACTATTATATAATGCTTTATACTATTTATTAATTTTGTTAAATACATATATCTATACAAACTACATGACATACGGAATTCTTAACGTATAATAAGTATATTCTTTTCATCTCTCATAGCATACACGTATGCAACGTGATTCTATACCCGAATAGCACCGAAAAGAAACGGAGTTATCCGATTTATAACTAACCACCCCCTTACCGCGAATCTTACTCCCCCGCTCAGTTCATGCTCCGTCTATACATATATGTCTATGGTCCCTACTCGGGGCTTCACAGCAGAATAGGAACAGAAATGGGGCAGTCAAAGCATGCGCGCGCACCTTCTGCCCGAGGATGATAACACAACACAAGCGAGTGGTGGCGCTGGTGTTATTGTTTATGGGAGTGTAACGCCGCTACTTTTTCACGCTTCCACGTTCGACTCAGCAGAAATACATCCGATTGACTTTTTCTAATTCTCGAAACACGCCAGACTTATAACTCCCGAAATCAGCAGAAACACCACGTCCGGTTGCACACGGCACCAGGGCGTAGTAGCTCCCACCATCGCCTCGATGTAGGTGTATAAGAACCTAAACAAAATTCCAATAAAATCTCTTTTCGGTTCCGTCTCGTAATTAGCAGTGCATCATTTCGATCGTCACCTTCATTATAGTTTTGCGTACGAGCACACTTCCGGATAATTTTCGAACGTTTTATTCGCTCATGTTTTGTGTTTTTTGTTCAACACTAAATTCCGTCACAGGGGTCCCGCGGGTAAATGTTTGGCCAAGCCTGAGATATAATAAACTTTTCTGACAAATAGGCAAAAGTTGTAAAAAGGAATGGAGAATACCCATTAACCACGCTGCGAACACTTCAAGTGACTCAATAGATTTATTTCGTCTATTGTAATAAACTTTTAGTAATCTGTTTAAATGACTTTATTGGGGAAAAAAGTATAATGAAAATTGTGTTACATGTTTTAACTGAAACGTACGTTTCTGTATTTAGTAGTGAATAGAATTTCACTTACTTTTTATTATCATCGTTTGTGCGAACAGATTTGGCATCGTCGCCAGTGTCGTCCAACAGATCACTGCCGTCGCTGAAACAGAAAACAAGCCGTAGTACTGTTCAGTACACTTAAAACAAATTGACAAATATAACAATTCGCGATTTCACGCTAGGAATAATATGTAAGGACATCCAGAGTTGGGTTCTTCAGTAGGATGGTTTTCATCTACTACAAGATCAACAAGAAACAGGAAGACCAAAGTGCTATCATCTCTGAGAAACAGTTAATACAAAAACGAAGGGAGAACACAGTACCCACTATAGCATTCCAAGATTAAAACGATAACTGTGATGAAAATAATTTCAATTGGAGTTTTAATTATATCGACATTCTTAATTAATTCTTATTAAAAATAAAACGAATATTAATTGACGATTAATATTTTTTAATCAACGATTTTTTATGACGATTAATTTCTTAATCATAAGAATCAATCGAACTAAAACTTTTTAACGATTGATGCCCAACTCTGATTACATTAGGTCTGGCCAAACATTGACCCGTGGGGCCATATAAACAATAACACCAGCCCCCACCACTTGCTTGTGTTGTGTTGCCGTCTTCGGGCAGGAGCTGTGACTGCCCCACTTCCAATACATAGTCACTATGTCAACGTGTGCCGCCAAGATCCAATGACTAGATACTTCGTTAGTGCCGAAAGTGGGGACAGTCACAGCATGTATGCGCACCTTCTGCCCAAGGATGGCAACACAGCACAAGCAAGTGGTGGGGGCTGGTGTTATAGTTTATGTGACCCCACGAGCGAATGTTTGGCCAGGCCTGGACTATACAATCGAGGAAGACCTTTATGGCTTTACAACGTCGAAACATCAAGGAACCAAGCACCACGGAAACAATTTCTTTCGCGTGAACCCGTCCAACGCAACGGTCCGATATTTCTTTGATACAGAGTTTCGTCAAGTTTCCCTTGCCTGCACAGCTTCCCCGGAGCTACTAGCGCACCTATGCAACTTCCTTATTCTTTCAAGTCACAATTACTTTTGAGAACTTTTGAATTTCGGTGTTTCTGGAATATTTATTTTTGTACGTATATTCTACACTTCGTAGCACGAAGTTTACGTTAGAATATGAGCAAAATAAATAAACAATTTTAACAGTTAGAAACAATGTCATTTGCAGTATAATTCGGCGACGAATGTTCATGCAAAATAACATTTTTCACGTTTAGCTTATAACATCGAATCAGCAATCTATTTGTCACTAAATCTAATATAGCAATAATAAGAAAAGAAAACATCGTCATTAAAATAGAATAATATACTTCAAGTAACATTTCTGTATAATACAAAATCCCTTATTTGAGTAAATAGCTGTTCAGAAAATATGGAGATTGAAAGAAACTAAGGTTACGCGAAAGGTAATTAAAAAGATGTAAGAGAATATACATAATTGTTTGAAATATATATTATAAAAGTTTTCCATTTTATCTATCCATTTTATCTTTTACATATGTATACCAATCACTATTTTTATTATTGAATTGAAATAAACAATTTCAAAGCAACCATACTTTTAATTTTTGTTTGTAATTTGCATTGTCAAACATACATGAAAATAGGTCAGGAATTTGTAAAAAAGAACAAAACATTATAGATTTTTTTATGTATTTTCCAAATAAATTGAGTTCCCGCAGTATTGTTAAGTAGCTTAATGTGTAATTAAGTAGCAAAAGAGTTTTATCTAAATCATATTTTTTTTTGCTATGCTAACTAGTTTCTAAAATATTCCATAAAACATGTTTGCCACACCCTTGACACTTTGAAGATTGTTTTGCATCCTTCCAACATCGATGAATACCAGTGAGAAGATGAGCGTTAAATTTTTTCATAAGAACCTTCTTCTCAAGTTTCATAAAAATCGACATGTTGTGTTTACGTGATGATCATTGCTAGTATTACACCTCATCGAACTTATCTCAATACAGACTATCAGCTTATGTACAATACGTATGTATGTATAAGAACATATAGCGTTCTACATATATAAAAAAAATTAAACCGACCTTAAAATTTCCTCTAGTAATACATACTCCACATGCAGAAAAACTACCTATGTGTAATGTGTACTACTTAATACTTCCTTTTATACTCGATAACTTTTTTCAGAATGATTTTCTAACTTCAATTCTAACGATAACAAACGTGTTGATTAATAGAAGATGAAATAGAAGACACGACAAGAGAAGAAATAAGAATAAAAGAAGAGAAAAGAAGAGACATGAAAAAAAGTATATACTCGGCAAAGACAAAATATGAAAGAAATAAAATGGAAATTGCCGACTTTAAGAACCTTTCTTCAAAAGCTAGAAATTTAACCTCCTAGAGTTCCAAGTAAAATCACGGGCAATGGTCGAAAGTGACCAAATATGTAACTGGCTGCTGCCCTAAGTAACATTTCGTTCCAATTTCATTCGATTCTCACAGTTCTCCACTCCCTTTAAGACACTAAATTGGATATAATATTCCAGTTCGGAAGTTATCGTGATCGCTAGGCAATTACTAAACGCACCTTCGGCCAACCAGTTCCCAGGAGACGTAAATCTTTGGGTCTGTTAATTATTAAGTTAACCCTTTGAGCGGGTAACCGACACCTTGATTGGTAATTACTTCGAGTTGCGGCCGTTTAATGGTAAACGCTTGGGAATGCTGCTACTCGATGGTACACGTAGAGGGTGAGAAGGGTTGGAAAGATGTTTGTGGATGGAAATGTCAGTTGTTGAATACATTTGGGAGGCTTCGTTCGCGACAGGGACTGAGTTAATGTGTAACGAAACGATCCTGTGCGACTTCCACCTACGCTCACTCTATCATGGAATAATAATAACAATCACTACGTTTTTGCGACACACCATAGAAAATAATAAAATAAATCAATGGAAATGTTTCGTTGGATTGCTAAATAAAAAGCAGTTTGTTTCGATTAGAACTAATTCCAAGGCAGTTCACTAATTTCAATCCTTAAGGTTCTAAGCATATCCTTTTCTCACTCTCTTCTTCATCCTCCTGTTTTTAATTCTGTTTAATACTTCATCTTACAGTTTAATTGTTAAATATGTAATAAAAATTATTATGAGTAGCAACAATAACTAATTTGGTAATGTTCTATACATTGTCCATAATTTTCTGTGACAGTGTTTCATTTTTCAAGTCACGATGATAGGTGAAAAATGATGGGATAACTGTATGTAATGCTAAAGAAATTTATAAACTTTATTACAAACGTAACATAATTATATTTAGAATTTTTGAAAAACTAAATGACTCACAAAGCCGCACGGCCGGTACATATTTTCCACCGTCAGTTATTTGGCGGTCGAATTTTTCACGTCCACACCGTTAGACATACAATAACAAAAATTAAAAGTTTGGTTGTCTACACACTTAATATTAGAGAAGTACCCATAATGTGTCAAAAATATTGAAAACACTTTTTGTATCTTATAGTTTTATAAGAAACTTCCTAGTAAAAAAAGAATTGCTTTCAAATGTTCGCCCTTTTTTCAAAAATCTTTATTTCTTCAAAATCTTAGGTACTTTGTTAATAATTAGTGTGTAGGTGATAAAACTTTTGGTTCTTCTTGTTCTAGATCCAACGGTCGCGACATGATAAATTCCACTGCGAAATAACTCATTGTCAATGGGAAATACATACCGGCCATATACATATAGAACAAAAGATTCTTGTTTAAAATTTTAGAATAAAAATGAATTATTACAGAATAAATTTTTTTTAAATATAAATATAAGAATGTTACGTGACATTTTTAATGAAGTTCATACATTTCTTCAAAATCAGTTCCAAAATTAACCTAGAGACTCCTCTCTATTATCGTCTGGCTTGTTCTACACGATTATTGTTCAGGCATTATCCCCTCTACTTGAGGGGGGGGGGCGTGGAACCTGTCCAGCATATACTTTGTTGTCCCTCCGCTTTTGTTTCCGAGGTTCGGGCTGCGGGCAAAAAACGAATGTACGAGGGTCCGAAGCATTTCTCCCTATCAGATTATTGTCCTGGCGTGGCCCCGGGTTCGGGACAATAATCGAAAAGAGTCTGTATAACTTTTGGCCGATCGTCATGGTATTATACCTTAATTATTATAGTAATATATCCTATCTCAATTTTATTGGACTTTATTGAAGTGCACTTTGCCGGTTGAAATTCACTACAAATGCATAAAAATCTACAATCTATTTAATATATTCTACTTATTATTATGTGATTTGGAAAGTAGAAGTAGAAATTGAAAGATTATGATCCCGCACGAGTTTCATCAACATTCACATCCGCGACTCATAATCATACTAAAAGTCTATTTAAATGCAAGTAATATCCACTTATGCAGAATAAATCAATTTTGATGGCGCAATAACAGAAAATTCTGCATAATTATTACACTTATAGTAAATTTAACATTTATAGTATACATATATAGTAAATTTAACAATTATACTTAAATTTTAAAAGTAAAATGATATCACACTTGTTAAAATTTGGAAGCATGTGAATCAATACCAGTCATTGTATAACAAAAATCTTTACCAGGTTGCAGTAACTACTTTTAGAACCGTTCTAACTTCTAGTTTAAGCTAAGAAACGCGCATATCAGAAGTCATGAGAAAAGTTTCAATCTTGGAGTACGATTTATTGGTTCTTTTCGGATCAACGGAATTGTTCTTTGAAGGGGCACTGCTACGTGGAGTATTCTGTTAATCTTAGTGATTTTTACTTCCCAGATAAACAGTCACATGGTATTCTATATCTTCATACTAGAAATGCGCATTCTCCAGTTTTCGTTCAGTCCTTATCCATGTCGTGTATCTTTTGAAATGAAGGCAGATTGCTCTTAAAAAATACGCCACATCCAAATACTGTACAAGTCTTTGAAGTTTTCTTCAGTCTTATTGGAACAACCAAGCAGAGTGTTTTTAGCGATAGTTTCAATTTAGTCTGAATAAGTTCTGTTATATGTAAATGTGCCATATGCTTGCTAAGATGAATGCAAAACGAAAAAAATTAAATATCATTTGATGGCTTGAAGGGAACCGACAGATTACACAACCGACTGCTATTTTTGTTTAACCAATATAAGTGGATATACTAATAAAAGCAAGAACAAAAAAACACATGTGTATCCAAATGTGACATCGGCTCTACGGCCAGTGCGGAATGAAGATCAATCAGCTGCAACTGCTCCTGTCGCATCAAGCTCCGCTTAAATTGTAAATACCAATGAAAGCACGTCTGATGAAACGGGTCAGTAGTTTCCATTGACTGACGGTATACACCTTATCAATGACAACAGTTTAAATGATTTAGTGCGCGATTTGAATCTAGCTACAAAGAAAGCAGTACTTTTGGCTTCTAGATTACAACAATGGAATTTAGTTATATCAGAGACAAGCGTAACACACTTCTGAAACAGAAGCAAAAAATTACAGAAGTACTCTTTTTTTTCGTGCGAAAATTTGTGTTATTGATCGAACGTCAGCATTTTATCTGGTACATTAGGTTTTAAACAGCAATCTAGAAAGTGGAGGTTCTTTATAGATTCCTCGACGAGAAGTCTAAAGGTAGTGTTACTTCACAACGGCAATCAATATCCCTCCGTACCGATCGCATACGGAATAAAAATGAAAGAAACCTATGAAATATTCAGAACCCTCCCGGACAATATCAATTATAAGGAATATAACTGGAGTATATGTGAGGATTTAAAAGTCATTGGATTGTTGGAAAGTTGATGGGCCTTCAAAGCTCATATATGAAATTTTTTTTTTTACGAATGGGACAGTCGCAGTCGTGCCAAATCAGACTATTATATAATAATATTAAAACGAGGAAAGGAAGCAAAACCTACAACCTAGGAGAGAAAGACATATGAAACATAATAGTTTAGTCGACAAAAACGAATGTATATACATACATATACCACCACTGCACCTTAAACTAGGAATCATGAAGAATTTTGTGAAAGGGATGGACCACAATGGAGCTGCATTCAAATGCTTGCAACTAAAATTTCCGGGGATTCTTCTAGGACCACAAATTCGTACACTAATGGAAGATGCAGAATTTAATAGAATAATGTCAGTTAAAGAAAGGGAAGTGTGGACTGCATTCAAAGACACCCGTGAAAATTTTCTTGATAAATATCGATCACCAAACTATAAAAACATTGTGGAAACACTAATTAAAGCGTACAAAAAATTGCGTTGCAATATGTCTGTAAAAATGCATTTTTAGCATTCCCATCTGTACTTTTTCCCCAAAAATCTTGGTGATATATGCGATAAACACAGGGAACGATTTCACCAAGAGACATATGCGTGATGGAAAAATTGCGAAAGTACTATCTCGAAAACCAGAGCAGATACATGAACATTTCTACAAGACGAGATTTGCGGTTTTTTATGTAGAATAATATGGTGCTAACAAATTGTCGAAAATATAATTTGTTTATAACAAAAAAATTTCAGATCAAAACTTCGAGGTGTGGTTTCACCCCATAAAGTCGCGTGTCAACCGATAAAAAAAATGTGTCTCTTATTTTTGAATGCTTAACAGACATACGAAGTTTCATCAAAATCGGAAGGCGACACTTCCGTGCCTTTCCTTGTAAGTGGGGGTTCAGATGTTGCAACGCCCACTTATATCCATCCCATGCATGAAACGAGGTTATTCTTACGTGGGACAGAGTCTAGATTTGCGATTTAAGTAGTGTTAAACCTTGCAGACGTACCCATCCGTTATACCTAATATTGGTCTTCGACACCATGTTTATAGGACTTCTTCACTTTTTTGCGTTTATAATCGCCTCCTTCACGACCAGCGAACGAAAATGCTCGTTGTATATTAGTTATACTTTCAGTATTTAATATTTATTCAATTATGTGTCTAATAAAATCATTAGGTAAATGTAAAAAGTCTTGGCACGGCTTTGCTAGCACGAAAGAAAAACGTACCGTTGCATAAAATAGTTTATTTGTGCAATTGCCTATACGATACCCTGTATTGTCAACATCATTTCATTATGTATTATTATTTAACTATTGTTATTTTCTGTTCTTATTCTAGTGTGTTGGAAAAGAATCTACGGTACCAATTCTGTATGCACTTAATATGTACGTAAATGTACCTAATGCTATCATCACTATTATGTACCTTTCTCAGTAAGCTACACAGTTAAAAGCAATATAACAGCAAGATATACTTACTTGCAAGACAGCTTCCGCTTTCTAGGTGCCGGTACAAATTCGTCGGAGGTATCGGTGGTAGTCAGTCCATGGCTGGGTGTGGTTGATGCGCTACGTTGATGATGATGACGATGATGATGATGATGATGATGATTATGGTGATGATGACGGTGGTAGTGATGGCTGGAGGCGGGTGCCTGGTCGGGTACCATGGTCGGGGGTGTCTCCTGGTTCAGCCCCTGTTACGACCCCCAGGGTGGTATCTTCGGTGGTGGTGGTGATGGTGGTGGCGATGGTGGTAGCGATGCTTCTGCACGTAATGGCGGTGGTCGGATTGTTGTTGCTGCTGCTTCTGGCGGGGGTTGGTGTCAGGCTGAGACTTTCGCCGCCCCCCGCCGAGGCGCCCGATACTCTCCCCACCCCCGAGCCCGTACCTATGTCGAAGTAGACCGTTGAACAGGAGTTTCTGAAAAAGTTTCAAGTACACCTCGGTTAATACTGTACTGTGTTAATACAATCTGAGAATATAGGATTATACAGGTGGTTAAGTATGATCAGTGAGTCGTCTGAGCTAAGTGGTAAACTTGATTTTGGGGCAGGGGCTGTGCCCGCCCCCCCTCCCAGAAGGGCATAAAGGGCGGGGCAGTGGCAGCTCCCCTACCCGCACCGGTGGCAAAGGCGGCTGATACCGTTGCGAAGGGGGCAGAGCCAGCCTGACGAGAGGAAGGCCTGGAGGAGGCCATTGACATGGCTTAGAAATGTCCCAGACCACCCACACTGTGTGGGGGACTCGTGCGGCTACTTGGCGATAGATTCCCCGTCATGCTTGCTCGGAGAGCGAGGGGAAGGGTTCGTGGCTGTATGGTGGGGGAACATCGCGGTGGTGGGATGCTACGTCACGCCTAACTGCGGCTCGCCGAGTAGTATCTGGGCCTCACCCTGGATAGCTCCTGACGTTTCAACACCCACTTAAACCGTTTGGCCCCCCAGGTGCAGAGACGGTAGCCGTTTTGGGCCACCTGCTCCCGAACTTGAGGGGGCCTGGGAACGGAATATGTCGCCTACACATAGGGGTGGTACGGTCGATGACCCTATACGACTCACCACTGTGGGCGAGCAATGCTGCGGCCAGCCGGCGCAGCGGAACCCTGCTGCGACGAATCCAACAGTCACCGGTGATTAGGATCAGCAGAGGGTACCGTACCATCTCTGTCGAGGCCACTCTGGCGGGAGTCATACCGTTTCAATTACAGCCAGAAAAATCTGCGGAAGTCTATGATAACCTCCGCGAACTCCGCTAGGAGGGAATGGTCCGAAGGGCGTGGCCCAAGATGTGAAACGCCGAGCTCAAGTCCACGCGCTGGATAGGTAGAAGGCTTGGTTATCCGAGCTTGACATTTCGTCCAAACACGTGAACGAAGCTGTCCTGCCAAGCCTAGAAGCATTTGCCTTCTGCAAAGCACGTGTTATCCTAGAACCGTGGTTTCTTTTTACTTAAATCTTGTCGTGGTGGGAGTGAACTCACAATGTAACGATGGAAAGCTACTTGGGGTAGAAGAACCTTTATGGAAAAATTCTGTCAGTTGGTTAGCAATCGGGCGACAGAGATTTTCAGTTCACGGGAGTATTACGCAATGTTCTGGTGGTACCAACAGAATAACGGATATGCGACTGCTGCTGTGCAAGTGTTTGGCTTCATAGAACATCTGATATATCTGAATTTTCCTAACGTAGGGAGAACACGTTGGATTAAAAATACATTAAGTGATTATGTCGGGTGATCAGTGTTAGTGGTCGTGCAGTGAAGCGAGTACGTATTTTGTGGAATAACCAGGACGCACTTGACGTTACAACCCTTAACTTCGGCTGGTGAGGTATACCTGCGATCACCTGCGAACTGGGCGATACCCTGCCATAAACTGTTTCGGCAGTCGATGACCAGGATCGGTCCAGTGACCTAGTGTACAGGTTTGCAAACTGCAGGTGAATTTCCGTAAGGGTGAGTTCTATTCAGTTTATTAGTCATTATTATTTTCTTAATTTAATGCAAGTTATGACTTTTTTCCGGCAATAATTTTGCAAGTTTCTGTACCTACAATTTTTTTCGGGCTTTTCGAAGAGACTTATTCATTATCAATGACATTGTTGCTCGTTATTAAACTACGGATTTTTATCTCAATAGCGAACTACGATCACTTCTCGTTCATTTTCGGTTACATTACCTTTTCGTTAATATAAAAAGGAATTTACAAATTCCTGAGTCTCCCTCTTCAAATAATTATTAGTTTCCATTCTGTTTAAAAAAGTAACTGTGCATTCGTCTTTTTACGTTACACATAATTTTCCTACATTTATGCTTCATTCAGTAATCTCTTTAAATAACAAAGGACAGATGATAAAAAGTATGATTTTATTTGTTACGTCTTTTTTATTTGCTATTATACGCAGTTTCCTGCGATGCATGCTGACCTACTTGTTCGGAGTTTCGTAGTACAAGCGCAGCACATAGCCACCGCTAGCGCGGTAACTTGGCTGGGCAAACTCGCGCTCGGATTGGTCGGAGTTTTTCGTTAATATCTCGGTAACGAAGCCTCAGATCACATTGTTGCTAAGGAAAAAGTTGTTCCAATACACTCACCGAGTGCCCCATTTCCGGGTCGGAGGACATTTTTGTTACACCCTGTATTTAGCTGTGTCGCACAACTGAACGGCGGAGTGGTGAAATTATTGCATAATTTCTGGAATTCTGGCCCTCTACAGCCCCGAAATATGCTATAAACGAGCGGCCACTGTATGTTTTTTCGTTAGCGTCCGAATGTTTACATCAGCGTTTCGATCGATTCGGAGTTGGACCCGAAGGTATCTTTTCCCTTAAGCACTGCATACTATTAATTAATTTGTTTATATTTTCAATTTTTCGACAAATGTGCTACCATTTTATTTCGTTGAATTTCTTGAATATTTATATTTTTTTATAAAATTAAATCTATTGTTGAAATTTAAATTCATTTTTTTCAGGAAGGTCTGCTCTACCGCATACTATTGTTAGATTTTCTCCGAAAACTTTAGTTTCTGAAATAAATTGGCGAATATCAGCAAAAATTGTTGCGTTTTCGGTGTCCTCTTCACATCAATCATTATTTGAACACATTTAAATGTCTGTAGTATAATAATAATTTACATCACTTTGTTCAGGAGAGTCCAGAGAATTATTTAGTGTCAAAAGCATCTGAATAACTATTGCTGCAAAACCACTATACACCTCCGAAATTGCAAATTTTCAATTTTTTAAGATTGTTTTTTGTTTTAACTGGACGTGGTAAGAAAGAACGGTTTGCAGATTCGTATTCAGCTCATAAAGGTACCATAAAGACCTTTCAACAGTTATGAGGTAAGAAAAAAGATAAAATTTGTTGAATAGTGTAGTTGTACTAGTAGTAGTAGGTGTCAGTATTTATATTAGTATTATTCAAGGTACATATCATAGGAGCTTATTTCAATATCGTCGGCCATATTGGAAATCTTAGACATCGATGCCAATACCTCACGAATATGTTGCCCTATGTTCTTGCTTCCGGTTCCGTTAACAATGATTTTCAGAATAATACAATGTGTGCTGACAATTCCGTATACATATTATGATGTAACCTACACGATTAGCGTAATACTATTTATTCCTGGATACGTCAGCGTACGGAACATTTCTGGTATCGTATCAAGGTTCACGATAACGATATGCGCACGTGTCACCAGTTTTCCATTTGTTTACGGTATATGTATGTACCTTGTGTGTACAGAGCTAGCGTTAAAATCATCGAGAAAATTCAACAAAAGTTTTTATTATAAATTTTAATTAGAATTTCAGAATTTATGGGTGACTGTAGCATTACTACTATTTACTTGTTTATAAATAACTATATAGATTGTTGGAGTAAATTATTAGAATTTTCATAACGTCACGTCATTTCTCATGTAGCAATCTTGTGTATAGTGTATCTTTTATTGTGCTTAATGCAATTAATGCATTTAATATATTAGATACGATTAATAATACAATTCAAAATAATGAATTAATATATATTCTTCTTATTGTAATCAAAATAGGAGAACCAATGTGTGACAATGCATTTTGTAGCCATTCTATACCTACGTCTAAAGTGAACTATGTAACAATAAGTATAAAGATTCAGTTTCGTGACTAGGACCTCGATTCGCAATCTGTAATTCCTACCGGGAGGAATATTCAATCGAGCATATATCTATTCGACATTATCGTGGATTAAGAAACGCACACGCACTAACAAGCTTCGTTACGTAACTTCAAGAATGTCGTGAATCTGTAGCGCATAACATAGGTGTATATTTCAGTCGATTGTATCGACGGATCTCGTAAGAGTTGATTAACTTTTCGTATTGTTATTGTTTTTCTTCTAGTTAATAAAATTTATACGTACGCTGAGATTGTTTCCGCAGAATTCAATTTTTATAGAAAGAATTTACAGATATTAGAACCGAAGTAACAAATTTTTGTTTAAGCAAAAAAGTTTTTCATTAAATAAATTTTTTTCTTCAAAAAAAATTTGGCATGTGCCCCTTTTCCACTGAACCCCTCAATTTCATGTCACCCAAACGACGCTAATTGATTTTTAAGCCTCAATTTGTTGCTAAATACTGCTGTTTTCGAAAAACCAAGATAGCAGTTTACCTTTATTCATCCTTAGGAACATAGAGACAAAGTTTCATTCATTTTGAACAACGACAAAATTTGGGGTTTTGGCCAGCTTTTCGGGTCAAATACCCCACTGTGCGACGTTGGATGCTAGGGTCGCCAAAGTCCGACAATTAGGAATGACCATAGAAAAATTACGAAATATTTATTTGTGATTTTTGTAGCATGAAATAAAATAAATTGTTCTATGATACTTTTTTCTGTAGCCTATCTAATTTTTCTTATTTTAACATAAATGACACTATTTATCGTATAGCTTATGTACAGATCACTTAAAGATAACAATAAAGCATTTTTACGTTGATTTAAATGACTACCCCGCTTTGTCCTATCAGTTGGATGATATAGTCTGATTCAACATTTCTCAAAAAATGCGATTCTGCAAAAAACTATAACTAATTATTAAATTAGACCTATTATACAATATACCTACAATATGCCTTACTTTGAGTCATTAGACGAACATATTAAACCTAAGGGATCATCACTGTGGTTCAGGGCAAGCCCTTAAATCGTAAGTACCCCGTTTTGTCCAACGATTACTTTAACTCACTGGTAGTTTAAAATATAGAAGGCTGACACGTTAAATATAAAATTTGAAACACAATTCACAAGCGTATGGACAGCGTCAACTAGAAGAGCCCTTAAACTGTGAACATGTGAAAGAAATGAATGAAGAAAAGTCTTGGCAATAACAGTAACACGTTAAAAACGCCCAATCCAGCACATTAAACGCGACAATAAGCAGGAAAACAATAACCGAGCGCATACAAAGTAGAATCACGTCTACATACGTCATACGCGATAATGGATGATAGCAACAGTCTCTTCGAACTCGCATCTATTTATGTGATACCGACATTTGAATTATCACGAAGGCTCACGTAATGGAGAAAAATCAGAGTAAATAAAAGGTTCAAAACTGGAACAATCATCCATTTCAGCGTCGAGCAACAACCAAACGCGACACAACAAGACTAACTTACTCTTGGACAGCTGAGAGATTGTAGTAGCTCCGCTGTTGGTATAATTGGCCACCAGTGGACGTCATCGAGGCCACCTGACCATCATGAACATTGTGTTCCTGGTGGACACGTGGCTGAAGCGCTTCCAACGAGATGAATTCCTGCGGCTCCTGACCCGAATGGAGGAGATGCGTGTAACCCGGTGCCATTTCTTGGGCCACCATTTCCTGGGCCGGTGGTCCACAAAAGCACAGAAGTTCCTCCAGCTCTTCCTCTTGTCGTTGTTGTTGAAGGCGATGCTGAACACTTTGTGAATCGCGGACGTTCACGCTGGCGCCATCGCAGCTTTCCACCACGCCGCCGGTGTCTGCCAGTAATCCACCCTCGTCTGGCAATCATCCGCTCTTTCCCAATCCGAATTCGCGATTTTCATTGATTACGGGTGGTTGCAACCTGAGAGTGAGCCGGACCTTCCGCAGAACGGGCAGTTTCTTGGATCCAACTCGATGATCGGACTGTCTGCTGAATGTTCCGATTCAAGTTCGCTGAATTTTATGATCAACTATTATAATTGTGGGGAGAAATGGTTACTTAGATATCTAAGACCTTCTGTCATGGGACGAGTAGAAGTGTAAATTACTCATTGAATCTTAACACCTGACGAAGTAGGCTGCAATTAATACTAACAAGTGCTGAGGCACCAACTGACTGATGGCTTCAGCGAAAGAATTGACGGGACTGTAGCTTTGTGTACTTTTTCGATAATTTAAAATTTCTGATGAAGAAGATCACTATCTCCGATAGAACAGCCTTTTTGAAAGAAGTGTCTTGATGTTTTCTCAACATCACAACTAGCTTGATCATGGGATCGAATGATGCAGAGATAGTAGGATGCATCGTATGGTATCTTTATTGTTAAAATGTACGCTTTAATAATCATAACCCTCAAGATTGTCACTGGTCAGTCTAGATATTCGTTTGTTTAGCTGAATCATTCGAACCATGCTGCATTCAAGAATATCAAGTAGGTATTTACATAGTAATAGCAGACTGCAGGTTTCACTATATGAGCTCTGATAATTAAATTATAAACTTGGGGATCGTATGAACAGATTTCACCTCCCATTGCGATTTACCTGTGATGGTTGGGAACCTTTAAGTGTCCTCTATCGAAGGAGACTCTATCCAGGCCCGTCGTCGTAAGTTGTTTAGTCTGGTTTTAGCAGTCGCTAGAAGCGAATCGTGCATAGTACCCGTGCTGAATTCATAGCGAACGAAAAAATTGAGCAGCAACTTCAAGTTTCTAGTGAAACTCAAGAAAACTCCGACAGAATGTCTTCAACGGTTGAAAAACGGTTACGAGAATAATTGTATGTCACGTTCTATAGTTTTTATGTAACATAAGAGATTTTCTGAGGGTTGGGACGCAGTCGAGGATGATGAACACGAAGAGAGGAAAAAACAAGAACGAGAAAAAAATCATTGAAATCATCAGAAAGGGTCAACGTCTGAGTATGACAATGATTGCAGAAATATTAAGTGTTTACAGCGAGACAAATTCCTCATAATGAAATAAGGGGTCATGGTCAGTCAGAAATTTTCAAAAAATCGATTTTTCACTTTTTACGTTTTCTTTAAGTACATCTCGAGAATATTCTGTGCAAGTTTCAAAGTAATCCAATTAAAAATGACAGAGTTACAGGTGTTAAAAAATGAACATTTGATATGAGTGTAAGCTTGACTTGAAACTTTAAACGCGTTTTTCTCGAAACTACATTTTTCAAATCGGTAATCAATATTTCTTGAAAACTACTGTGTCGATTTATATGAAACCTTTTGCGTCTTATTTCAAATCAGAAAAAGTTGTCCTTGAACGAAGGATTTTTTTTTCGTTCCATACTTTTTTTTTAATTGACCAAAAATGAGTGATTTTTTAGGTGAAAATCGTACTTTTTCAGGAAAACGTCCGCTATTTTGTTCCTAATCAATATTTCGAAAATCCCCACGTTCAAGGACAAGATTGGTTCTTCCATTACACAAATCTTACTGAATTTTTAATTTCAGATGAACCGTTACGAAGTTACAGTGATCACGACAGACCACTGTTTGTGAAGAGACATTCGGCAAACGCTCACCATTTATTTACTAATAAATATTTTTAAATAAAAAAATTACCTTACAATCTATAAACTGCAATCTTTGAAACACAAACACATTTTTTGAAGAATGTCTTATAGTTTTCGAGAAAAAAATTGCTAAAGAACACTCTTTTTTTGGCCTCCTGACTGAGTATGACCTCTTAAACATGCAAAAAGTTTGTGCGAGAATGGTGCCCGAAAACCTAACCCAAGACTAAAATGACGCGCATACTCGTATTTCCCATTTCTACAATCATTCCCACCTGCAAGTGTCGATACTTTCTGATAATTCCACTGATATTTTCCACGTTCTCGTCGGTTTTTAAAGTGTTCGCCCGTCGCGTTCATCTTCGACTGCCTCCCGACCCTTAGAAAATCTCTTATGCCACAAAAAAGCCATTGAACGTGACATACAATTATCCTCGTAAACGTCTTTCGTTCGCCATTAGTCTAGCACGAGCACGATGCCCGATTCGCTAGAAACGTCTAACGACTGCTAAAACCAAACTACACTAAAAACCAAATAAGACCATAACTGCGAAATGACGAATTTCGGGTCTTGTTTGCGCATATTATTCCTCTCGGTAACCTTAGTTACCAACGTCTTAAACAATTGAGCATCCATTATGCCTCGTGTAGCATCATATATCGAGTGTGACTGTGAAGTACAAACGTGCCAATTCATAAGTATTCAATATCTTGAGAAATACTTCATTATGTCACCCGGTGTATGACAAATTCTATCGTCCCTGTTACAGAAAACAGGAAAGTGGGGGAACCACGGGTTCGAGAGACCTCTCCTGCTCATTCGAGATGCACGAAATAGTTATGCTCTTATTTGGCCTTTAGTGTAAACAATTTGCGACGATTATGATGTAAGGATATGTAGGAGCGTTAGAAAAATGAGAGGGCCCTAAGCGGGATTCGAACTCACAAACCCCCGGCGCCGAAAGCAGAGTCTCTACCCACTGCTCCACGGAAGCCTCCTACTTTCCAAAGATGTTATTTGCTCCTTTGTTGGGTATGGAGTTCCCAATCCCACAGATATAAAGTGTGTTCGTGCGCAACTTTCTAAATTAGCCAACACCAAACCCTTTCGAAGATCCTCCGTATTGTATTGTCAACCAATAAGATAATTTCGTTAAGAACCGTTAAGTTTAAAATATAAAGTAGCGTGCGCGTATATGGGTTAATACATAATTAACAAACCCATATCTAATCAATAAAATACGCTCAATTACTATTTCACTTCTTCTTTCGCACTCGAATTATTACGATGACATTTGTGTCGCGAAGATGACTGTCGTCTTCAAACATGTTCCCGAAATGTGTATTACAGAAACTTATAAGATCCTATCAGCGTAATTATATAAGGAGCCATGTAATTATTCGCTGCAGCCGATATAAAATGTGACTTTCTAAATCGCTGACCTCTTACTTGAACGAGTTACTGATTTTCATCGAATCTAAGTAAATGTCCCTTTGTATGTTTGACAACAGTATTTATATTCAAATAATCCCGAATAATTCGGAAAGATTCAGTGTCAAAATAATATTTTTCAGAATTGTTTATTGTGATTCAGAGATAAATACTGAAATAATACAGAATAATACTTCTTACTTTTACTATTCTATATGTTACACAGTAGCAGTAAAAAATTTACTCGAAAAATTCGGCATCCCCGTTTTTGTAATTCAGTGTACGAAATTGCCATCTTGCGTGTTCTTCTTATTTACACTAATTAATTTTAACATGACATCATCTTAATATACTATCATTTGTTCAAAAAAATCCGGCTGTTTTCGAACAAAATATTCTACTATTTGTGTAAGTGATTATATTCATGGAAAGTCATTTTTTAAAAATAAGTTTACAGATTATCAGATTACATAATATTCTTTCATAAAAATATTGTATGTATTACACAATGCGCAAATATATTATTGTTGAGCATAGATCCTATGTAATTTGAAATCGAGCCACGACTCTAGGAGAATAGTTCATAAATTATTCACTGAATTTATTCAAGCACGCTGAATGTTTGCAAGTTGCTGATGATCATCGAGAAATCGGCAAGAAGCAAATGTTCGGGAACGTTCTGGATTCATGAGGTGGACGCTGTCGTTACATAAGAGAAAATACTGTTCAGTATTCGCGAAAATTTCCATGCAGAGGAAGCAACCATTTTGGATTACGTAATCAACAAAATAATATGACGTCAGTATTAATTTGGGATTATTAAAATTGAAAAATTAACCGACGACTCGAGTGAATGTATTGTTAACAAAGTCATAAGAAGAATATAATATAACGAAAGTGCATTTTATTTCCAAAAAATTTCTACCAGGAATTAATAATCTTTCATATCTGTTTTCAAGAACGATGATTATTAAGAAGAATACATAAAAATCAAAATTTGCATAGACATGCGCAGTTTAATTATATTTCAAGAATGTATAATTTACTAGTAATCATTGCCATTCGAATGACTAATTATGAAGTACCTATAATACATAGTGAAATCGTAGGGTAACGGCGATGTTGTAACTTCATCAATTGTGCAAGAATGACTATTTTCATGTTTGGAAACATTTCGCTGATTTTTTCTTGGTTAAAGATATTTAAGCATCGACGTCTTCGTACTGTTGACGTCTAGTACGCGTAATTGTAGATTAGTATCGGGAAACGGTACGCGAAGAAGCGGCAAGAGTTTATTTAGCGTAATTTACAATCTCACCTTCGATGAAAAATTTCGCTTTTTAGTATGGATATACACGCAATGCAGACACGCAAATATGAAGAATTTAATACTAATGAGATTGTTATGATAGTTGATTGGATGTTGATACAAATGTCAACTCTGTTCGACTAATTTATTGGAACTAGGATCAAACAGAAATTTCTATATTCGATGAAAGTGTTCAAACGAAATAAACACCTCTTTCATTCATTCTTACAGTATTGAGTTTCAGGCGGTTCCTTAAGCGTTTATACTGTACACCGGTGTGTAAATCACAATAAAACAGAAAAACTGATAGAATTTAACAGATAATATTGTTGCTCACTTCTTGCGCTAACCAAATTTTTAACAAATGTCACAAATTCCTGTTGCATTATTACTTTTGTCAATTGATCTCTGATGATATAAAAACGTAAAAAAATGTACAATTTGATTGTAATATAACGCAATATAGCAATCATTTAGTACTTTAAGAGAAACTAGG